CGGGAGGCGGCTCATATTATCCTCCGTGCCAGCTCTGGTTGGAGCCTGCCGAGGATTACGGCACATTCTGTAAGGCAACAATGGAAGCGGCGCCGATTCGTACACATTTCCACCCTCGCCTGCTTTTTCCTCCGTCGAACAAACACAGCTTTGTCCTCGCTGGCTGCCTGGCCGCTCACCAGGCGGAGAAGCAGGCGGACACCTGGAGCCCGAGGTCTGTCCTCTCCCAACTAAACGCCCCTCCCTCGGAGCAACGGCGTCCCTGCGATGATAATTAAAACGACAGGAAAAAAACACACATCTCGGATTCAAAGCTCATTATTATCACGAGGGTGAAGAGACGCTTGCTCCTCCTCCCTCACCTTTATCGCCCTTAAGCAAGTGCTGCAAACAGTCGAGCCCCAGTCAATGATGGCGCAGATTAGCCCTTTAGTGCCTAATTCACCTACAATAGATGACACGCAGGGACGCCACCACCTTGATCGGCGCGTCTCAACGTGTCTCCGTGAGGTCCGGGAGTGATGCTGATTTCTCCGCTTGGGCCACCTTGTTCCCTTTTAATCGAGTCAGCAGTGCTTTGAGCTTTCGATTAGTGAGGTGCGTGTGTTTCTGTGTGTGTGTGTGTGTGTGTGTGTGTGCTGGTCGAGTGGGGGGTGTTTCACACAGCTCTGCAGAGGTGTAACACCCTGCCTGTAGTGTTGTTGTAAAGCACATTAGGAGGGACTGAGGGTGTTGTTGTGGTATCATGATGCCGGTCCAGCACTCAAGGGAAGGTGAGAAGATCTGCGTGTGCATTCGCGTGTGCGTGCGTGTGTGTGTGTGTGTGGTCGGGATGGTGGCCAGTGCGGCTCGCTGTATTTCTGCGCTTGCAGCCACCCTCTGAATCTCTGGCTTTGTGCAATACTTGTCGGCCGAGTGCCTCATAAGAAGGGAAATGTGTCTTCATTCAGACACACCTGCGTCTCCATTGGAGCGTACGTTCCGTTTTAATAAAACCCGCCTCGCAAAGAAAAACGCAATTCGGCAGGAAGATTGAAGTGTGTGCAGAGTTCAGCGACAGAGAAGAGAAAGGGGAAGTTTCTCTCTGTGCGCCTGCAAGTTGAAGTTTGGAAGCCAATTCTGGTTCATTACGCAACTGTGATGTGACTTTTTCTGTACTTCATTTAAACATTTTAAAGAGAAATATTTACAGATTTACAGAAATACATCAGCACTATGGTCATTTTAAGCTGTATTTGTATGTAAAACTTGTCTGGTAGTTTTTTGCCATCAGTAACAATAATACTCCCTCCAGTTGAGATATGTGAATCCAGCTTACATTACCCAAACAATACCCCAATAAAGGTGTAATAAATAACGCCTGTTCCCACTTTTTAGCAGTTACTTTGAGCATCATGAACGACCGGGCGAGAGGCACACAAATGACAAAAAAAAAAAAAAAGACACAAGTTGTGGTGAAGTGGGAAAAGCCTTTTAGCAGCACTGTGTCCCGGAGTAGCCCGACTGCTTTTTGGTTCACAAGCCATTTATATGAATAAATTAAATCTGTTTACCGCCTCGCTGTGCCTTGACAGCCCAGCTGAGAGACGGTGTAAAGCGCCGAGGGTTCGGGATCCATTTGTCGTGCCGCGATGGCGCGATAAAGCTAATCATTGTCTACACTTCTCGCCCTCACACTGCTTCTCATCCCGCAGAGGCGCACAACTCGTCTGCGTTACGTTAACGCGCTGGAAACTGTTTGAGAGATGCGGGAGTAGGGGTCTTTTTTTAGGGGGGGGGAAATAATGTTTGGATTGTGACACTTCAAAAAAGCAATCCCCCTTACTTACGGCGGATAATGTTCCGCTTTAGTGTCTTCCTTCAACGTCGTTTAGCGCCGCTGTCGCAAGTTTGTCACCAAATTAAATCCGCATCCCTTCTTTCCCAAGGTGCGCTTTACGTAACGTGGTCACGTAACGTGACAAACGCGCGCCGCCCCCCCAGAAGGGAGGCCGCCCTGTTCTCTGCGTGGTGCCGCGTGGAAACAACGCTTTTAAAGTGGTGGTACGATGGAGGGGGAGAAAAACATTGTTTTACCCTCGAGGTGGGCCGATAGCGCTGTGAAAAGCCCATCTGAAGAGCTAGGCCTCATCTGTCACTGGGCAATGGAGGAGGCAGCCATGCAGAAGCCCCGTGATTATAAAGAGATAATTTCATCCAATCCTCCGGTGGTGCTCCATCACCTTGCCGCCATCCTCCGCTGCCTTTCATATTTGTTCCCAGCCTGCATCTCCTCACCCGTTTCGTTTTATTACGGCTCCCCCTCAATACATATATTTTAGCCCCCCCCCCCCCCTCTCCCTTTGAATAGGGAGGAAAGGCAGGTCTCCCTCCTCCCCTCCCGCCCTTCGATTCCCCCCCCCGCGTCTCTTTTGTTGTGCAGGAATCCGCGGCTCTCTACTTGTTGTGCAACGCCTGCCGCGCAGTTTTTTGGGGGTAAATCAAGCCCAAGCAACGGCGCCATCGGCGGCGATTTCCCCCTCGCCGCCCTCAGGAGCGCGCGGCGGGGATTTTCTGGGGTAACCAGCTGAATCACGGCAAATGGGTTCACATTAGGTAAATAGCGCTGAGAACATAATGGATGATAACATCTGTAAATTAGAGAAAAAAAGAAGAGCTGGAGCCTCATAATTGCGTCTGTTGTCATATCTCAACAGCATCGCGAGTTTAATCTTTAATTTGGCTCTTGTTAGCCGTTAAAGATATAACAAAGGAATAGTGTTTAATTAGAACAAGAAAATTAAATTAGTCCCCAACAGTGCCATCGCATACTTCTTCTTAAATGATCTTGGGAAGAGTGTTCCTGTAAATATACGGAGCCGGGCCTCTTCGCGTTGGAGGTCGGCGGTGTCGTTACAACGTGTGTTTAACAGATAAAAAAAGGGGGGTGGTGAATGGCAGCCCACCCTCTTTCTTTCCCCTCATTTTAACTCACTGTTGGAGCTAAGAGGGATGACATGGAGAGAGAAAAATAGGGAGGGAGGAAGGGAGAGAGCAGGAGGGGCGAGAGACGGGGAGAGCAGGTCGACCCGCTCATCAATAACCACAAGGTCAGACAGGCAGTGGCGGGCTGAGTGGGCCCTGTTAGGAAGCAGCAGCTGAGGATTTGTAGAGCTTGTAAAGGCTTAAAGCAACACCGCTCCGCCTCCTTTGTGCCACTAGCCGGGGCCTTTGAAGGGGCCAGGGAGACACCTGCTGGTGGCTGAGGGGCACGATGGTCCTGGTCCCCCCCAAGCCGAGGAGCAGCTCGCTGTCAGCTGGCACGGAGGAGAGGACTGTGTGGAGGAAGTCAGTGGGAGGACGTACATCAGCTGGGGACGGACCGTTCTTGTTTGAAGAAATGTGAAGGTGTTCATCAGATCCATTTTATTTAGCGTTGCTTCACTATTAACCTTTTCATTGTGTTGAGATCAGGTGATTTTGTTACATTGAATGAAGCTTGTTGACTCCTGTTTGCAAATTCCTTTAAATTACCACATTCACAGTCAGAGTCACAAAGAGTGTCCAGCTAGGAAGAAAAAAAAAAAAAAACCAAACACTTCCTTTCTGAGAGTCGGAATTAGAAAAAGGTCCTCCGACGTCTCTCCTTTTTTATTTATTTTTATGAGCTTTCTAATTTATGGAGAGGAAGTCACTCGTGTGCCCTCCTTCCCTCTCAAGTGTGGGCACGAGCAGCTCCAATAGGTAGCATAAAAGCTCTTTAGCTGTCTAGTGGAGTAGATTACCGGCCCCACCGTTAAATCCAGCTAGAGACCCCTAAGTGAGCATTATCAGTATGGTGCAGCATGCTGCCTCCTCTCTCTCTCTCTCTCTCTCTCTCATCTCACCGGTACTTTGTGCGGGGGGAAATTTCTCAGCCTGTGATGGTAATGGAGAAAGACGGCGTTGGGGGGGGAGGGGTCTGAGTGATGGGGGCGAGTGTCTGAGGGAAAGATGATGCGCCGCAGGAAGCGACGTCCCTGCAGTCGAGGGAAGGAAACATTAAGACCGAATGAGATAAAGGAGGACTTAAAGGGGGGGTCGGGGGGTACAGATGGAGGGATTCACTCTCCTCCCCCCCCCCCAAAAATTTTGTTTTTTTTTTCCCCCCCCCGCCCCCTTGAACCCCTTAGGATTTAATTTAATTTTTTTTTTTTTTTGAACCCCCCACAATTTTCCCCCCCCCCCCCCCCCCCCCCCCCCACGGGGGAAACCGATAACCTTTAACGCAGGTTAATACTTTTTAACTCGGGATAACGCCATTTAGCATGTCGGATCACAGACCCGTTGTTTGCCTCCCGTGAAAAAAATGATTCCTCTGGAACAAAAAGAAAAGGGGAAAAAAAAGCGGTTTTCCATAAGCTGCTGCTCCAAAATCAATAGTGCGCTGTAAGGGGTTTTGTTAGAGGAACTCTTATGTAGCAGGAGAGCAATGGGGGGGGGGGGAGGGAGGAAGGGAGAAATGAAATGTAAAGCATGTCTGGGCCCAGGGTACAGATAATTGTTAACCGAAAATTACATAATGGCTAAGTAATGTAAACAGAGAACCACATGCCAAGTTAATGTTCTCACAGGCCGGGATGGAAGGCTTTCATGCCGTTTTCTGTGTGTGTGTGTGTGTGTGTGTGTGTGTGTCCCCCTCCACCTCTGTCCATTCTGGCCCCCGAGGTGCTTTAAACGCGGTCAGACATCCTCCCTAAGCCGCCCCGGCGTGTCCTCTCTCTCTCTCGGTCTTGCGGCGTTTGAGGGGAAACCGCCGGGGCTTGTTAAGGGCGTCGCGAGGAGCTGCGGAGCAATGTCGTCCTCCGGGCCCTCCGAGGTGCTCGTCACCTGCCAAATCAATACCTCCCCCGCTCAGATCGCAGCGCCACACACAAATATGTGCACACTAAACTGCAATAGCCTGGTGGTGATGGGGATTGGCAGCTTTGCAGAGGTAAGGCAAGCTTTAACACGTGTGTGTGTGTGTGTGTGTGTTACAGAACGCACCGGTTTAATGGCTGGCAGGTAGAGGCGGAAGAGGGACAATCAACATGAACGCCATTCCGTCGATGGACAGACACATACAGCAGACCAATGACCGTCTGCTGTGTATCAAACAGGTGAGTGTCATCTGTGGGGTTTATAGCACGTGGGGGCTCGATGCATCGATGCACTGGCATGTGGTGCAGGTGGGAGGCCGAAGTGCTTCACGTCCTTTAATCGGACGTTTGTGTCTTTATAAAAAATGTTACATTTTCAATATTTCTGATAACTAGCAGATTAACCTTAATGATGATGTTTAGGTTGTTAAAGAATCTTCCAAGGTAATATTTGGGCTCTGACCTCGTCCTTCTCGAGGAGGCTACAGGTGGGTGCTCGGGGGGGCCTGTAGTTGTCCTGAGCCTGTGTTGGATGTTACCTCATCCTACGTATCACTTCCTCGTGAGTGTTCAGTGGGCTTCAGTGGGTTCAGACGAAATTACAAAACTCCCCAGTATACTTTACTATCAGGACCGTGGTGCGACTGAGGTTACTGACCGAGGTCAAAAGAGCAGAGCCCCCCCCCCCCCCCTACCTTCCTCCCCCGTCGTCACCCTTCTTCCTGGCTCCCAGTGCGTCCTTTTGTTCTGCTTTCCCCACTTTTTACCGCGGGACCAAACCCCGGCAGAATGAAACACACACACACACACACACACACACACACACTTGCGTAACCCCGGGCTACAGGTCTCTCTCCCTTTGATCTCCCCTCTTAACCGACGGCCCGTTTTGTTTCTGCGCTCTGTGTCCCCTTTTGGGGGCAATGTATGGGGGTCTTGCACAGGAGACACACACAAGTGCAAACGTGGCAAATGGTCCCTCCCCCCACCCCCCCCCCCGTCGGGGAGTTCCCCAGCTATTACCGCGAAAGAGACAAGGTGAGGCGGATAGCAAGACGGGGCGAGTGTAAACCGAGGGAAGCCCCCGCGCGCAGAGCCAGGCTTTGATGTCTTTAAGTAAGGAGGTGTCTCCAGTCTGGTTACAGCTCGATAGCAAATATGCACCATCGCCTCCTTCTTTAGTTAATGGGAGGTGAAACTGGACCCAGTGATTGCACAAACATTGTTTTTAGCTCCGTCCAACGCAAAAGTGCCAACGATTCAGATGTCAGGAGGTTAAGTGTATCAACCCCCCGCAGGGTGAGGGGGGGGGAAACTAAATGTAAACAAACACGTTCCCAATGTTGGCGGCCCGGGGGAAGCAGCACATGGGCAAACATTGGGCCAATTAGAGAGATCCATGTGCGTACAAGGAGGCCTCCAGTCCACCTAATAAACGGTTAAGCGCCGGGTCATTTCAAGCCGACCAGCGAGAGCCAGCAACGCGCTAATAGAGGCGGCTTTGTGCCGCAGACAATCAGGGTTTTGGAAGACCCGCATAATAAATACCATTTATGTCCTGCCAATTAGACGAGCAGCGAGCCCATTCAGCCGGCCGTCTATTCTCCTCCCCGCACACAAAGATGATCATCGGGGGAGATCAGAACAATTAACTCCCTATCTTCTCCCCCTGCTCCCTATTGTCCAATATCCAAGCCATTAAAATAATTAAGGAAATATTGTAAACCAATCCAGCTGTTTGCTTTAATTGAAAGTGTGCACATGCTGAAATTTGGCATCTTGGGGGGGCCGATGCGGACGTGAAGCAGGAATATCAATGAAGCCTCCTCCATTGTGTTGTTGTTCTCTGGAAGATGTGACATGTCTGTCTGAATACCCGCAGCCAGCGCGGCGGACAGGCGAACAAATTGATTTTGTTCAAATGATAAATCACTGCTGAGCGTGATGATAAAGTAGAGGAAATTGGAATCTGTCAGCCCGATTGAATCATGGGTTGAAAGTTAAATCAGAAATCATTGCGTGGGCAATTTTTAAATTACCGTCCTGTTGTGGGATTTGCAACGATGTAATTTTCCAAACAATAACTCAACCTCAAACTGTTGATAAACTATGAGAACATGGTTATTATTCACCTCAATACACTAATTTAATCCTTAAAAAATGTCTCTTTATGTCTATTAGTATTGTAAAAGGTAATAGTAAATTAGAGTTCCAAGACGGGAATCTATTTATCTATTTTTTGACATTATCAAAATGAATCAGCAGATAAATTGACCCTGAGGTATGAAAAGGAGCACTTGTACGTTGATATATCTTTGAGTCTTTGTTTTCCTGGTGGTGCTAAATACCTCAAGGGAACATATCTCCAACTTAAATAAATAAATAATAAATACGCTTGCCTGTTTAACCTCCAAGCGAGGCGAGGATGTTTCCAAAAAAACACATAAAAACAGTTATCTGGATTCACCACCAAACACGCGGCTCCTCAGTGGCACTTTGTCCTCCCTCCCCTCCCCCTCGCTCCTCCCGCGTCCTAGAACTGCACCGTTGTGAACACTTCGGGGGGAAGATGTGCTGCGTGATACCACCGGTATCTCTTTCACAGGCAGTATTTTTCCTCTCGCTGTGGGAAGCCAGTCTGCTCTCCACTCATATGGGAGGGGGGGGGAGAGATGGTTTTGGAGGAAACTGAACTCTCCTCTCGCTGCAGGAGCACTTCCTCAAACTGAAAGCGTCAATATTTCACAATGAACTACTACGGGCTGCTGCTGCTGCGCCGGCTGCGCAGCTGTTTTTCGTCTGCCACCGTCTTCTTTTTCAGGGTTAATTGTCTCCATTAATATGTCTCCAGTGCTCTGGGGGCGTCGCTCAATGACAACAGCGGCGACAACCGAAAGCCGTGATCGTGGGGGGGACGGGGACGGGGACGGAGTCTTTGCCCTGTTCCGGTCTCGCTCCAGATGTGCAGATCAAGCCGTTACCAGACGTGATTGCGTCTGAAGGAACGCTGGGAATCCTGTCTGTCTTTGTTTCCCTCGGACTGAGCCGAGCGTTTTGCTGCAGCGTAAAAAGCCTGAGGGTCGCTCTCACCCGGGGGGACGAGGCGGGTGGGTGTGGGGGGAGGGGGGGGCCCTTGGCCGCTGGTTTAGGTTTGATTGGTGGGTTTTGGCCGGACTGAGGGGAACATCTGTGGCGGGGCAGTGCCAAGCTCTCCATGTGACAGCCACGCTGGTGGGACCAATTGTTCTGAGTGCAAAGAACAGTAATCACTTCAAGCCCAAGTGTTGGTGGTGTGTGTTTTTTTTTGGGGGGGGGGGGTTACCCTCCCCTCTAGATATCTCCCCTCCTCCCCCCTTCCATCCTTGATGCACTGATTGCATGTGTTGACTTGCTTCCAGACTCATCTAAATTTAGCATCTGGCGATGTGTGTGTGTGTGTGTGTGTGTGTCTCCAGGAGAATTTATCCACTGGTAGAATTTACAAACCCACCACGTCTCCCAAAACAAAGACGTGGAGGGCGAGTGGGGAACGTAAGATAAACAAGACTGGTTTCATCCGGCCCTTTTCAAACTCCTGTTTTTTTTCCTTTTAATTGAAATGAAAGTTGCCTTTTTAAAATCTTGACCTTTGCTGCCCCCTAAAGAGCAAACAAGAAAAAAGCACCGCTTTTGTCCCTGCCGGTGAAATCGAAGCTCGCAGACACTTCAAACGTCAAGCTCAACCACTCTGTTTAGGTTTGGACACATATTCCCAGTCAATTGAATGAGAACGTGTTATTCACAACTGTAACGCTGTGACTCACACCGACATGTGAAAGCTTTAAGAGAGGAATTGCAACCCAGTGAGGACTATCATTTGGCTCCGGTGGGGGGGGGCGAATGTCATGGAGGGGTACCTGTGGGTCAAGGAGCCTGCTCTCACGGCTGTTCAAACAAGGCGCTTCCTCGGCGCTTCAATCCGGGAGATTTATTGCGGTCGATGGCGACGGCGGTGCTACAGAAACCTAGTGAGAGTGAAGTGGAAGCAAGTCTAATGGGGACGCACCCCCCCACCCCACCCCACCCCACAGCGGAAAAGTGGTCGTATAAATTGTTTCCTTTCAAGCCTCTTAATTATTCACCATGTTATTGGCGTGGCCCTCGTTCTGGTGACAAGTGAGTTTGTCGCCCAATCTGCAAAATAGTTCAGGCCGCTCTACTCCCGTGTGACCTTCTGCATGTTCTAACACTTCCCCAACCTTTTACCTCCTTCTCCCTCCAGCACTTACAAAATCCAGCGAATTTCCAAACAGCGGCGACCGAGTTGCTGGACTGGTGCGGCGACCCCCGAGCCTTTCAGCGGCCCTTCGAGCAAAGCCTGATGGGATGCCTAACGGTAAGTAGCCAGTCGTGGTGCGTCCGTGTCCCCACCACCACCACCACCACCCCTCCCTTTATTCAGTCTCACACTTGAAGGTTCAAGGGCAATAAAAAAAGTGCTGCATTGGCTTTTTCCGTAACTCCCTCGGGGTTATGAGGGAACTAATGTTTAGCTGCCTGATCTTTACCGAGGTCAATGGAAAAGAAAAAGTATTTCACCCTTTAGAAAACTACTGAGATTCGGTCACCTCCCGGTGACTTACTTATTTTGTGCTGCGGCGCTCAGAAATCGGGCTCACTGGAAGACAAAAAGGGAGAGCAATAATGTCCTCAAACCACAAAGTTTTGAGGGGCACACTGTAAACAAAGAATAATTTGGGCCGAAATGCGTCAAAGTAATTATACACAAAATTGTCTCTATGGGTAAATTGTAGTCGGAGGAATCCTCTTCTCTTCACTTCATACGAAAAGTAATACTGCGCCGAAGAAATCAAAGTGTAAAGCTTAGAATCCGTTTGCTTTGAAGATGGCTCAGAGAGGTTTGCAGCCTTCTCCGTCGGCAGCTCGCGTCTAAAGCCGCTACGATGGAGCCCAGTGGTGAAAAATGGCAGATGAGCTCTGAACATTTCGGACCGGACGGTCGGGTAGAACAATGGACGGACGGCGGACCCGTCACTCACCCGTCACCTCGGGGCATCTTTATCGCGCCCGTCTCCGTTCCGCCTCCAGCGGTGGATCGGAGACGCGCGCGGCTCCCGTTGGCCGTAGTCCACGACACCCCACCGGGCAGGCGGGGCTGCGGGCGGAGGGAAGGGACCCTGCGAGCTTTGCACTCGCGTTGCCGCGGTGAAGTGATTGTTTGTGTTGCTGCTTTAATGTGCAGCAGCAGGTGCCTCTTCCTCCCATTTCGTCAATTCAATCTGTTTCCCGCCGTGAAAATCCCAAGGCTTTGCCTTTTAGTTTATGGGCTGTACGGACCGCGGCGCAAACCAGGCAGCGAGGGGGCACAGAGAATGTGATGTGATTGTGAATTACCTGCCGACTGCATCGGGAAACACTTCACCCTGTTTGCCTGCACGCCTCAGTGTCGGCATTGGATGGTGACAGACAGGTGGCTACGTTGCACAAATATCATCTTCTGCACACAGTTGCACCCGTTGACGTCGAGAGAAATGTGCTGTGAAATCAAATGGGACGTTTGTGAAATTAGCCTAGAAATCAGGCCGCGTTGATCCATGCTGACCACAGAAACGTTTAAAGAAGAAGTTTGCAAGACCCAAACAAGCTTATAAGAGTAATGACATATTATCTAAGGATGTTTTACATTTAGAATGAATCATTTGCTGTGCAGCTGTTTCACAAAGTAGCATAAAGTTTCAGAGACTTTGGTACGGTGGACAATGCATCGCCACCACTCCACCAACTGTGTACAATTTAAGTCCTGAAATTAGAACTCGTTTTAACTTTTTACACTAAAATTACCTCTCAGCCAAATGTCCCTCGCAAATTTAGATTGTAATTAGACAGCCTATACTCGTATATCTTCTTCTTAATGGGGGATTCCTATAAATAAAGGCCACATATGCGCACTCTGTTTTGGTGTCACGTCAAGACTATACTTACAGGAGATAATGATATGGTGCACGGAGCAGTGTTCAGCTGCGCTACCTCGAGGCTTGTCCTGAACTTTCGGGATCTATGAAAAGCAGGCGCAGGAGAAGAATCGGCCTCCAGTGAGTCTCGCTGATCCTCACAGGCCTCGGTATGTCCTTCGGGTCTCGACGTCTCGAGCGGGTCTCTTTGAGCTGATAATGGCGACGGTAAATCAAAGCAACATGTGCCACATGGGGGATTTACATCCCCTCCTGTAGCATGTGGAGGATCCTCTTAATGTTTCCTCTCTGTGGACATCGCGGCACCAAAGGCCACATTTAGTCCACCGACTCACATGGACCTGATAAAGTAGTCGTGACTTTATCCCTTAAGTTGAGCTGCACCTTTGATGCTGGGAAGCTGCACTCTTATGTAACAGCCAGAATCCGGGTAATTGGGCAGACGAAATGATGAGTCCTTTGATGAGTTTAAGGACCTGCTTTAAGGTATTTTTTTTAAGTAATCCGCAGATCCAATGATGTATCTTTAAAACCTAACTTGAATACCAATTTCCGACATGGAGAATTTGTTTCCTTATTTGCTCATCATTCACATTGCTGCATGTTTGCAAAATATCTCCAAAAGCTACTACTTTTAAATTAGATTTGGTTAAAGCGTGAGCCGTGGATCAGCACAAATCTTCCAAGGATCAGGCACATAAATGTGGTGTATCCTGTCTGTGACTGTGTGTATGCAGATTCATGTTTAAAAACGATTTCTCTTCCGACATACTGAACGACATACTGGAATCTCGCTTCATTTCGTGAACACACCATAACAGTCCTGACCGGGTGCTTCCTGCTGTTGTTGTTTTTTTTCTCCGTTGTGTTCAGGTGGTCAGCCGGGTAGCAGCACAGCAGGGCTACGACTTGGACCTGGGCTACCGGCTCCTGGCCGTGTGCGCCGCCAACAGGGACAAGTTCACTCCAAAATCAGCAGGTAAGACTGCACTTTTCTCAACCCGCCCGTCTCAGGCCATCTGGCCATGCCGGCCCGCTTGAGCTCAAAGATCCTGCCCAAATTCTTGGCAGCATTCCATGATACCCACCCCATCACTCCTGGACTGTTCCCGGTACTCCAGACGAGCCCTGCAATCGTAACCTGTGTTGGGCAGCAATCCCGGAGAGATTAGAAGAGACAAATGTTGATCTTAGATTACGGTCCTCTGCCCGACGGGGAGCGCGGGCGTCTTTTTTCTTCTGTTTTCAACCAAAAATGAACAGTAATACAAAACAGCGTGTCCTTTTTCCCCCTCTAATAGCTGCATAATCGTTCCCTTCTCCATGTCGCGTCTCACGTCCAAACTGGTTCCCAACATAGAGAACTACAGCAAAAAATGTTCTGCGGGGGGGTTTGAAGACGAAGTGCGTACAGCCGAATACTCAATTCGTCACATCGGCAACAAAAAAATGCTTTTATCAGTGACGGAGAGTTCTTGTTTTCACGCGGCACCGTCATCTTAGCGCGGTGATGGATTATTGGGACAGATGTATACTGCTAAATGTTGTTATCAAGCTGGCGGGGGGGGAAAAAGCAGGCTGAAGCACGACGGGAATGAAGACGTATCGGCTGTCAGCGGCCCGGAAGATAACAGGAATATTTTGTGATCCTTTACTTTTGATTTGTGGTTTCCACCTGTCTTGGGTTATGAGCAGAGCAGGAGTTGCACATTCGATTCCGCGGGCTCGGCCTCGTTGCTGAGCCGCCATAAGTCGACTAGAACATGAAAGTCAGGAGCCACATATTGTTTGAATTTTCACTTCTCTCTTCTGATTTACGGCGTCTGCGGCCTCATACGTGGTAACGCGAGGCTTCAAATCATGCGCTGTCACTCATCTGCAGGCCGCGAGGGGAGAATCATTATCTGCCTGCAGTTAACTCATACTGCGAAATGTTTTCTAATTCTACTTAATGCTAAATCAAATCTCAGGCCCCTAATTTATGGGCTCAAATAAGATTGCCAATTGATTCTCTGCCTGCATCACTTTCTGCAATAGTAGTCATTCTGGTCGCCGACGAGCACTCCAGTCTAGGCAGCGTCCCAAAGTGCATTTCATGGACAATTATGAACTTGTATGCATGGATATTTTGAGAGGCGTGTAGGAATAGAGGGAGAGAGTCAGCCGTTGATAACCACTGAGGAGACGTCCTCCAGCAGAGCTCCCGGGAGCTCTTCAGAGTGGAGGCCCCTGCACCATCCTGCGATGGGGCCGGGATGGCGGCAGCAGGTCAGCCAGAGACAGATGAGTTAGTGTTCACTGAGGATCAGATCTCCGAAGCTACATTAGACGGGACATAAGAGGCGGATCGGATGTGTAATTGACTGCGCTGGGCATAAAGGAGGTTTAGCTGTGATTCGTTTAGCGAAATCGTTTCGTTTTTTTTCCCGGATGCGATCCAAGTTTTTTTTTTTAATTCCCAGCTGCGTCATGAATACGACCGTCAATCATTTGCAGCACGAGAAGCTTTTGTAATGTTCTGTAGTCAGAGCGCTTGAAAGTGTTCCGCCGTTATCTGACAACAAAGGGACTCGTGTAGGAAGTTTTTCTCTAAAGGAAAAAGCCGAAAAGTTGTCCGAGGTGCATATGAAGGCGAGTCGTTCTCTCGCCACCACTGGCCGGCTCGGCCTCACCGTGGGTCTTCCTTTCTGCTGGGAAAACCTGCGTTTATAAATGGGCGGGAGGAAGCCAGATCTCTGGGTCTGTCTGCCACATCGGGTCAATAGTAAATAATAAGTAAATCAGATTTGGTGTCCCACTTTTTAACCCCGGCCTAACTTGTCTTGTTTCTGCCGTGGTCACATTTCTGTTCTGTCCTCCGAATTCCTCTCCCAAACATTTTTTTCCGCAGTTTTCTGTAGTAGGAAATCAATGTTCACGGTCAACTTACAGCTGAAGCAGGTTGTGACTTTGACAAATCCATTCATCATGTAACGCCTTCAACAGCTTCTTCTTCAGTTTCTCGGTAAGAAAAAGGAAAGGCAAAAATACTCCTTGATCTTAATGACACCACCGATATGTGACTCCCTCACTTGAGGAAAACTTCATTATCTCCTCCTATTGATTTTATCAGGCAACGTACGTAGCGGATTTATAGCAAAGTGGGCCATTTAGAGGCAGATCTTGACTCTCACTGGGATTCAGTGAATCATACTCTTTAATAGATGCACTCAAGGGGATCGGCCAGTTTTAGTCCCGTTTGCCCCACAATGCTCGGGTAGGGCTGGGGGAGGGGCATCTGTCTGCTAGAAGCGACCTCTTTGTGGCTGAGATTAGCCTGCTCTATTAATCTGTGATTACGTGGACTGTCTTAGTGCGGGGGGGGCGTGCATATCAAAGTCGGGGGATCACCTGCTCTCGGTGGATGAACTCATCAGGACGCATCCCCTCTCGCTCTCTCCATGACAGGGTCCATTACAAGCGCTCTCAGGCCTCCTTCATCAGTGGCGCACCCTTCCTGCAGGATGGTTCAGTCCGGTTTTGGGAGCATCTACGAAATGCTTAATCAGGAGTTTTTTTACGCCCACCCCCCCCCCCCCCCCGCTCACCCCAAAGAGGGTCAGAGTAGCACATTCCCGATCGTTTGCGCCTCAGCAAGCTCTTGGAATTCCTCGGCTCTAAAGAGTGAAAGGAGGCACCAACTTATAAGAGACGGGGACCAGTCCAAAGTTTTCCCCCGCCATTCTCCCGCGTAACAAACGGCTGGTAAACCCGCCATTCAGCAGATAATTATCTGGGCTCAAGCTCCGTGGGGGTTCGTAGTTCACCCACGTCAGCATGATAAATAATAACAGTTTTTAACATCCTTTGTCTTCATCTGGTTTAGTTGGTTTAATAGTGGACGGTTTTATGGGGGTTTCAGTGTGGGGGGGGGGGTTGCGGTTGTAGGTCAACATTGAGCAGTGTGACCAATGGAGACATACTTGAACTCTTTTAAGCAAAGACGAGTTATATCAACTTGTGCTATGCTTTGAAATATGTGCAGCATGAAGACCTGTTACAAGGGAGGGGTGTGCCGTTTGGACGGTCAATGCAAAGAGTTTTTTTGCAACGTATAAACCTTTTTGGAGTCAATTTTATTTTTTTATATTCATGGTACTTCCAAAGGGAGGAAGGCCTACTTAAATTCAGGCTTCAGACAAGCGTTTGGTCAAGCTTTTTGTCTTCACCCACGGCGTGGATGAGTACTTTTGTTTGCTTAAGTGCAAACTTAACGTAAATAAACACGCTGATCACACGTCGGCCTTCCGGGTGAAGTGAACACCGAGATGATTGTGGGAAAAGCCTCGGATTGTACACGCGGCACAGAGGTCGGTTAAACACAAACACGGGCCTGACGGGCTGTAATCGCTCTCCCAAAGCAATTCTCACACTAAAATGTTGTTTCTATTACTATTTTCCCGCCTTCCGTCCCATCCCTCCACGCGATGGGCTTCAGCGTGTCTACAACACATTGTTGTTGCCCCCCCCCCGGAGAGCTTGTTTGGTTGAGTCAATGGCCACGCACGTGGAAGATATAGTCGCCACGATACGAGCGAGCACAGACAGGAGAGGCAGTTTTTACGTCTGTGGCAGCAGGGAGGTGGTTGGTAACATCTCTTGTGATTCGCAGTGCAACACCGTTACCGTTGCACTTGTGTCTCTAGTTAAATGCATATTATTGTATTTTAGCCAGCGACCCATTGACACCTGAGTCCGACCGGCTGCCGGTGAGTTTTATTATTTGCCCCGGCCTGCCTCAGGTGCCGCGTCAACCCACAGTTCACATGTTTTATACGTGTGTAATTATTTATCCAAAAGCGTACCGTGGCTCATGTGTGCTGAAAGACGATTGTGGTCTAATTGGCCCCTCCCTCCCCGATTCAAACACTCAGTGCATCAAGAAGCCACAATGCCCAGCCTCCTCCTCCTCCTCCTCCTCCTCCTCCTCCATGCCCCCTTAATTACAATGACCAGTTTGATGGATTAAGTCGACTCAATGCAAAGACGAGGTTTCGGGGGGCTGGAATCAGTGCTTATTGTACCCACCTGAACCCTCCCCATCTTCTATATTGGTGGTTCTTGCGCTGCATCTCTCCCCCGTTACAAATGTTGCTTTAAATAAATTGATTGAGGCTTCTTTTACTCGTCGCTCTGGACGCGGGCCAAGATGCAGGCTGTCTAGCACATTAGGCGCCACCCCCCCTTTGCAGGTTTGAAATGTGAGCCGCCTGCATTTTTTTTTCTCCCTCTGCTTTCCTCTCTCCCCTCCCCTCCCATGCCCTCCCTCTCTCCCTTCTGGCGAAGTGGCTGTGGCTGCTTCTGTGTGATGTGTGTATTGGGAGAGCAAGCAATGGATCACTAGACAGAAAAAGAAGATACATCAATAACTGCAGCATACATCCGAGGTGAGGAGATAAGCATTTGGTTCTCTCTCTCTCTCTCTCTCTCTCTCTCCTTGTCTCCCCCCCCCCCCCAACTCCCCTTTCCTCCCCCTGTGTCCCCCAAACCTCCCCCCTTTCCTCCACCCCCACCCCCCCCATACAGGCTCTCTTGCTTTAAACCTTTGTTGCTGCGGGAGCCCGCGCAAAAAATTGCCAAATATTCTGCGAAGAAATCTTCTCCTGTGACACAAGAGCAGTCCCCCCATTCTCTTGTGGGTGTTTGGAGGTTCCCACACCTCCTCCCTTTTTATTTTTTTTAGTTTTTTTTAATTTTACAGGTTATACCCGTGTTCCCCCTCAGATGCTCTGGAGGAATGTGTGCGTTGGGGCAAAGAAGACGGGGGAAGGTACGCGTGAGCCCATTAGCAATGCTCCCTTTGGTGATGGTTTTCCTTGCGAACGGGAGCGAGACCGCCCATGAATAATGGATGTCATTTGTGCATTCAGTCCCGGACCCCCCAGGGAGAGAGGAGAGGAAACCAGAGAGGAGCTCCTGCCAAGAGACATCGGGGGGGGGGGAGGGAGGGAGCAAGAATGCTAGAGTGAGGAGAGGAGGGAGGGAGGAATAGGGAGAGACACGGAGCGAGAGCTTTAAAATAGCTGCTGGCTCCAGTAGTGCAGAGATTAAGGCCGCCCTGTATCGCCTTTGTTCTGCTGTTGCAGATTCAGAAGTGTTTCTAGACACATGAGTTCCTCTTTTCAGCTCAGAGTGTGAAATGAGCGGGGACATTGCTGGAGCGAGTCTGGCTACAATGCGGGTGGCATTTTAGACATGGGGGGCGGGGGGGGTCCTCGCTGCCGTCACTAGGACGGAGCTGTCAAAAAGGAGGAGACAACGGTGAAAGAGGGTGTAGTCGGTGACAAGTGGGGGAGATGGATCTGAGAGTAACTTCCTGATACCCCCCCCCCCCATCTCCCCGCCACACCCCCCCCTGGCAGGGTGGCGGTCGGTGTTGGGAGATGGAATGGTTGGATTCCTGCATTGCCGGGTGCAGGCGGGCGCCCTCCCACGTCCTAAACGACCGGAATGGGCTCTGACAGCAGGGCGAGCGCCTCGCAGCGCTGCGCGTGATAGAGCTGCAACAGCTGACTGCTGCATTTGACCCACTTACGGCTCACACAGAAGGGGTCAAAATGGCCTTGATTATCTCCCGGAGTCGCGCTGACCTACTTGAGGCGGCGTTTTTCCGCGAACCTCTTGGCTGTTCGTCCCACCCACTCCGCTCTGTGCCACACGGAACGAGCAGCCAGGCGCCTCGTGTTGATTCGCTGGTTTCAGGTCGGTGGTTCTGTGTTCCTCGTGGTCCCATCGTGTGTGTGTGTGTGTGTGTCTGTCTGTGTAAGGAATACATCCAGAGCTTCTTGTCTTTGGGCTGTAAACTAACAAAACGTTTGTGTTGGAGAATGAGTTCCTGTTTAGAAAGACAGTCGGCTGATGTCATTTCAACCTGCTATTGACTTAAGTTGAGGATCTCATGTCGGTCGGCATGTGGCTGTCTTTATTGTTTATCTGACTTTCTCTCTACTCAGCAGGGTTTTTGTTAAGCGGAATAGTAAAGTCCTAGTTTGGGCAATTATTCAATTACCCCCCCCCCACCCACCCACTCCTCCCCAAAATGTGTCTGTGTGACAGCTCCCAACGTGCCAAGACAACACAGGTCTTGCAACAGGCCTTGTTGGTAAAGAGGTGTGTGGCTGTGCAGCACTACACACTTGCAACCGTTCATCACTACATAACAACTTCAACGATTCTCTTGTTCTCGCTCTCTGTTCGATGTCCTCGAGGTGGGAAATTGCACTGACCTTTTTATCTTTGAAGTTTCCTGGACGAAGTTCCGAAATCACAGTTAACGGCAATCGGCATGCAGGAGCAGTTGACGACATTTGTGTGTCATTTGCAGATGATGCGGTCCGTTTTCACCGTGAGTCCTTTAAAAGAACCAAAAACCATCAACCTAAAGCAGACTTCTTTGTGCATTTGACGTGGAGGAGGTCATCACTGAGTGAGTCAGTGAGCGCTGGACACACTCTGCTGCAGAGGCACACAAAGTAGAGTGTTCCACTGAAAGGGAGACGTCTGTATATGTGTTGTTCATTAAGCAGTGAAAAGATGCTTCTAGGGGTCAGATAAGAGAGACCTGAGCTTTTAAAGATCCAGAGGAGGGGGGGGGGGCTGTTATGAGATATTGCAAATGACGTCATTAAGTAATCTATGACCTTCATCGACCTCTAATGGTGAACAGCAGAGCTTTTAACTGCAGCGATATTTCCTCTTTCACACTATAACCATACTTACGCATCATTGTCTTTCATAGAATTCTGTTAATTCAAAGAGCTCACAATTCAGTCAATAGTGGTCAATAGTGATGGAGAAAGGCAGGCTCATTGATTAGCGGATACTCTGTGACAATTCGATTTGGAAAGAAATAACTAATGATGCTTTTTTGCTAATTTCGCAGTGGCAGGAATGACATGAATCCTTAAATCGCCTGCAGTGGATGTTCGCCATCTTGTACCACGACGCAGTGAAAAAAAAAAAAGATCTATTTGAAAGTTTTCTGTAATTCCATTACATCCACTTTTTCTTTTTTCTCATTTGAAGTGTAGTATGTTATTGTTTCTCTTCCCCGTATGCTTCCAAGACAGCCTGTTGATTATAACGTGACATATATTTCTCAGTCCCGCCGTCATCTCATAGGTTTGGTCAAATGTCTTGTCATTTACTGAATATCTTAGCCATGTGTGTAAAGTTCAGTAAAATGTAAAATTTGAACCCTACAGAAACCAACTGCTGCAGGAGGTGTCAGTCTGACTCAGGTACTTGCTGTGTGTCGCACAGGAAACTCATGCACATTGGCTGAATCCAACCAACCATCCCCATCCCAGTCCTTACATTATGTCCTCACACTGGGCCGTGTCGACATACTGTACATGGAATGACATCAGACGTGCTTTTATTTATTTTGTTTCTATCTGTTGGTCATCTAGACAAGCTACATGGCTGCTGTTGTGTTGTCTGTCGGAGTTTTACAGTATGAAGCATGTCACGCACACGTCGTTTTATCATCTTGCCTGCGTTCATTGAAGCCATTGAATATCTTGAGTTTATGCCTTGTTTTACTTGGTGAGTTGTACGGTATCTAAACACGCTACACGCAGTTTTGAACAGAGCTTACATGAGACTCACAATAATATAATAAAAAACGGAAATTATAAACCGCAAGAATTTATGATATAGATTTTTAGGTCTGTAAATGAATTTTAAAAACTCAAATGTAACCGACTCAATAAGAATGTATCAAATAGAATAAAAGAATGTATTTTTCTAAAGATATCTACAGTGTGTAGTTCACTATCTGCAATATGAAATAGAATTAAATTATTAAAATATTAAAACAAAGGCTCAATTCGAAGTATGAATCCATTAAAACCAAAAATATATTTGTTTTGCAGGATTTGAATAGTTTTTTATTCTGCCTGAGGCACACGTACAGTACGTACTGAGTGATGGTTTAAGACGGACACGGTTTTAGTTTCATAGTTTGGCCCGAGTGCTTTTTATTCAAACGTTGCACTGTTGCACATATGGACGACTCTAATGAGCCCAGAGGGGTGCCGGGCCCCCGCCCCGGGCCCCCTCCAGTGTCTGTTCCCTACTGTACTGCTGCAGGGAGGCTTTGACACCGGGCCCACTGTTTAAAGGTCGCAGGTGAATCAGTCGCCGCCACACTGCCGGTCCTGGCCAGCACCCCGAGGTGGCCACTAGTCCGGGCGCATCTGCTCTTTGCCTAATTAGTATCATTGTAGACGAGGGCTTAAGGCCGGCCCTTTGTTAATAGCAGCCTGTTGCTCGGGGAAACGGTCTGGCTCCCGTAAGCAGCTTCTTTGCAGGTCGGCTCATCTGATAATCTGGTGGCAGAAGCGCGCGGTTAAAAACACACTCTGTGCGGCGGCGGTCAGCCGAGACCTCAGTGCGGTCCGGTTAAGTTGGATAAGTCTTGGGAGGATTTGTCTTGTCCAAACGCATCGTGTCTTACTGTGTAGTTTGAAGGAGAACGGCAGGAGCTTCGCTGTGGTTTTAGCTCATGAATTACACATCATATATATGTGTTTACTCACCTACTACGTGCTGCACTGCTTTAGATTTCATTTGCTAATCTATGTTTCCACTCTTTTCAAATCATTCATGTAAAGTATGAAAAATCAGTTAGCCTACTCTTGAAATTTCATTTAAATTATATTTATCACAAAGGGCAGCACTTGTGAAAAAATGTTTTGAATAGCAACATAAAACAAGAAGACTGATGGAAATGGTTGATAATTATTTTGAAGTGTATCAATAAAAAACATTAGTTAGTAGGCAAGTACACATGGTTTATTTAATGTGTCACCGCTGCAATGACGCTTTGAGGAAACTTGAACTAAGACGTAAAGATGTAGGTTTGGAAGGAGTTTTGCTCCCAATCAGCTTACATACAGCGACATACAGTAACAGATTGGAGATTCAATTTTGGTTTGGCTTTCATGCACAACGAATTAATTCTCTCCAGGGGGTGAAATGCTATAGATTCCCACCTCCGTGCTTTACAGGGAGCCTGAACGGCATGCCCTGTTTTTAATGAAGAGATTTGTAACGTGTGCCAAGAGGGATTATCTTTTAAGACAGTGGCCTGTTTAGGAGAACGTTTGGATTCTGTATGACCATGACCAAGGAATGTCAGTCAAAGTGAAGAGATCAGCATAAATCATCTCAAGATTGTGGCGTTTATTGTATCCGGTTCCGGTTGCTTTTCAGATAGTTCCACGTGAATTTCTTTAAAGATTTACAGCCTAATCTTTTATCTCAAATCTGTGAACACAGATTTTCATTTGAATGTCTTATCTTTTACGTTGTGTATTTATTTGTATTCAGGAATCCTCCATGTTCGTATGCTTATATCAGATTTGCATCGCAAACCGGCTGGCCGCACCTTTTGATACTGCAACAAAGAACACAGGACATCAAAACAGCGACCCAGAACCCGCAGCATCGGGCCCGCTCGCCTCCACAAGGCCACATATGCTCGTGGCCTCGGTAAAACCTTTTTGGCCCGACTCCAAACCCCCCCCCCTCGCCCCGGGTTCTCCTCGCCGGATGGACATGGCACGACATTGTGGCCATGTGGCCAGCAGGAGGCTGTATTTAAGCCGGGGCAGCTCTGAAATGGGCCATAAAACCTAGCCAGCAAGTCTGGCTCCCCATGAGGCAACGGGCCTAAGTACTCATTGACAAGACTCCAACCTCACTGACTTCCCAGAGAGGGAGTACCAGAGGAAACAATGCAAGGACGAGGCGCGGACAGGAGGTCTATATGGACGTGCCTCTTTTATAACCGCTGATGCTTTCACCCCACAACGTGGAGCTGCTTGATCATACTTTTCCACTGCCACATACTCACTGTCATTATGGTTTGGGTCATTTTTGGGGGGGGGGTTTGGTCTTGCAAGCTCATTTTCACTTAATGAAATAGCTCCTTGATTGCATATATTTAAGGGACCTCAGGGGAAATGTGTCACATTTTGATGCCACATGGCGGCCCGCGACATTCACTTCACGCGTTTTTCCCACTTCATCAGCTTTCTGAAAACACCGCTCACCCTGAAATATGTCACCGAATGACTCACACAGCTGGAGCGTCTCAGAAACCCAACTAATGAAGTCGGTTTACAGACTCTGTTTTTACGACACCCAGTTTGCACTCGGCTGCCGTGCCAAAGCGCTGCGGAGTTGAGAGAGCCCAAATGTGTACCATGTGTTTAAAGGCGCTCCACCTGCGACGTACTTACCCGCCGCGAATCAACGAGCCCCCCTGTCACAGGCTGATGTTTATGCCGCAGGACGGCCGGCCGGCCGGCCTGTAGCCCGTTAGACCCGCTCCTCAAAACACTGCGCGATGGACGAGGCGCTTCCATTTTTCGTCATCAAATTGACACTGATTAACAATCGGTGGCATCTGTGGAAAAGGCGAAAAGAGAGGTTTGATGGATGCCGGGGCCGACTGCGAGGAGGGAGCTGATTTACGATCCGTTAGTTTGCGCGGGAAAGTTTTGGCACCGTCTCTCGGCGATGTCATAGCAACCAGGTTTTCATGTGCTTTTCAATGCATTATGAGGTTAGATCACCACAATTTTACAGTTCAGGGAAGGCTGTAAGCGAGGGATTCTTTGGCTAACACTAAACATAGCTGTTTTGCGTGGCCTCTTGGGTGCTTTCAGTAACCAGGGATACTAAGGCTCCCTAGACGCTCTCTTATTTTAATTGACTTTGGCCTGCAGGAGGCCTTGTGTCCATTCAAACCTTTCTGGCCAGAGAGCGAGAGCGAGGAGGGAGGAACAGAATGTGAATAGAGCTCCCTCAGAAACTAAAGAGTGCAGCCCACTAGAGCCGTTCTTGTTAGTTTGCTCGTGGTCTTTGTTCTGCTTTCAGCCCTTCTGGCTAAATGTCTTCAAACAAGCCGTTTGGGGAGGGGGGCTGGGGGGAGGGGGAGTGTTGTGATTCCTCTCGAAAAAAAAGTATACAGCAAAAAGCTGGACTGCGCTGTGGGAACAAGCGAGGACACGCCGGCGATAACGCAGCGGTGGACGTCGGCGACGGAGCGGCGTGGAGCAGCGCCAGGCGGGGGTTCAGGGTCGACAAGGGAGCAGGTGTCCGTTAGATACAGAGCAGGGAGGGAGGGGTGGAGGGGAGGGAGGGGCATGAGAGCTCTTGGCATCTGCCTTACCTGCTGCCTCCCCTGCAGTCCCCCTGCCAGTAGACGGAGGGAAGGACGGAGCGAGAACAAGAGAACAGACGAGGAGCAGAGAAACATGTCTGGTGGAGGCAGCCACCTTTGTATTGGTGCTCATGCATGTCATGTTCTCCTCTCCCACAGGTCGTTCTGCCACTATTCATAGGAATGGGTTGCATTTGCTGTATATCTGTATTTAAAGGGTTATTTCAACAAAAGTAAAATCATTCTTTCTTTTCTTTTTTACCCCAACCCTAATAGAATAGCGGTAGATGGATCAGCCTACGCACACGCAGCTCCCTGAAGATGTATTTAACCGAATCTTAAAGTTAAAATGACTTGCGTTTCTGGAAAGACACATTTGTGTAAAGAAATGTGTGTGTATATATTTATATATCTATACATGTAAAACACATCCTTTTGCGCGGCGCAAATGAAATTCTTCAGTTCCATTGTTTTGGAGTCGAGACAGAAATCCCGGAGCAAGTATCACAAAACACAGGCAATCCACAATGGCCAGACGCCATGTAATTAAGGTGGACTGACCCTTTAATCTGGAGGCCCTTTTCTTTTTCCAGAGCAATAAAAGGCGGAATCTAGGTATTTAATCAGCACCGTTTATCTCCGTGCCTCCTGTCTGAATGTGTGGTGAAAGTTGGTGTGGGGGAAGCGCTATCGTCGGGAAGGGCATTGAACAACTGTCACGAGAAGCAGCCCGTGTCGTTTGTCACCTCTCCCCGGGGCTTTATGACAGAGAGGCGAAGCTGGAGGGCTGCGGGCCCAGCCACCGAACCCACCCGCCCTCCGCCCGACAGATGCGTCTACCGCCCTGCGCCAAGGCTGACCATCCGGCCACGCAGCTGAGCACCAGCATATCAATACCCCCCCCCCCCCGGGACTCTCTGCAAAGGCAAACAGGGCTCCTTTCCTCTCTTCATGGGAGACCCTTTTGCCGCCCGGGGGAGACCAATGTAAACAAGAGCAGGACAATTACGCCGCGAACGGCAGTTTGGTTTCTTCCGAAGAGCTTCACTTGAGACGATTATTTCCAGTTTCGGGCTTTTTCTCAGAGAGGGCCGTCTGAAAAAGCAGTAATCTTCTTGTTTATCGCCCGCACCGTCCTGAGAGATGCGCGGGGGGGGGGGCTCCTCCTCCTCCTGTCATATGAAACCTGCAGTTCAGAGTCAGTGGCAGAGCCTCCTACTTTAACCAGGTTGCAGGTGATCATTTTGTGCGGTGATAAGCCCTGTACCTAACCGCGGGGTAGAGTAATTCCTCTTTAAGTGGCAGCTTCCCACCCCCACACACACCCTTCTCCCTCCCTCTTATTCTTGGATATGTTTTGTCATTTGGCTGCTCGGCTCCACGCGGTGGCGTTTCTCCCCGCGGCTGTTGATGCCGGGGCCGCGGTGTGAAGCGAGGACCGGCGGTCCCCTCAGCCAGGCGGCCTCGCGGTGCCACAGTTAGGACATAAATTGTGGAGACGTGTTTATCAACATCGGAGAAGTGCAAGTTACCCCTTGTTGGAAGAGAATAATGGGACCTAATTGAGCTGTAACACGCTGGCTGGACGCCAGGCCCTCGAATCGAAAACTCTCTCCATCACAAGGGGGTCCGGGAGGAGGGAGGGAGGGTGCCGTGGAAACACCGCAGGACCCAACTCCTAAACCCGTTAGTCGCACCCGGGTTACACTCGATCAAAACTGACCCACAGATCTCTGCAGATCCCGCGAGGGCGATGCTGTCAGGAGGAGAGCACCTGAGCGGCCGCCCTCCCCCCCCGTCAACCAAAGCGGAGTCAGATCAACCCTCTGGAGGAGCGTCGCGGCCGCCTGTCTCCTGGCACCTGCCGCGCCGAGAACAGGAGGCGGGGAGGGGGGGGGGTGGGCAGAGAGAGAGAAAAGAGAGGGAGCATGGGCCGGTGGGAAAGGAGGAGAAAACCCAGCTGCCTCCTCTGCGCCCGAGCCTCGTGCTGCTTTTAAAGGAGCGGGAGGGAGGCCAGGGAGGGAGGGAGGAGAGGGAGGGAGGGAGAGAGACTGCTGGCACCATCTGTACATGTCTTTTGTATTCCAGCCCTCGTCTTTACACAGAGCGAGGCTGGTGTGCTCAGTGTTCAAATGAAAAGGCGAGACGTGCCTTTTGGGTAAAAAATGTTTGGAAAAGGGGGAAGTTTTATGCGCATTCGTGTGTGTGTGTGTAATTGTGTGTGTGTGTGTGTGTGTGTGTGTGTGTGTGTGTGAGTGTGTGTGTGTGTGTCGACACCCAAAATCCAGTTTTGTCCTCGGAAAAGTCGGCGCTCTCAAATGGCATCGCCTGTCCTATTTATTTTACCTCTATGTAAAAGACCCAGTGGAGTGTCTTTCCGTGTGTGTGTGTGTGTGTGTGTGCGCGCTCTGTTTGCAAGCACTCATGTGAGGGCAAATCTCTGGGTTACCATGTTTGTGACGGGAGTCAGAAGCTTTTGTTTGTTCCTCCCTCCCATCAGCCCCATTAGCCGGATGCCTCCTCTCTCACTGACTCATTCAACCTTTTTTCTCCCTCTCTCTCTGTGTCCCTCCCTGCCCCCCCCCCCCCCCCCCCCCCTCACCCTCCCCTCTCTCTCTGTGCAATGTGTCCTCGCATGTAGGGTGGATCTGCCCTGCGAGGACAGCCTGCACTGTCTGCTGTCAAATTGACGTGGCTTTCTTGCGCAAAACCGCAGCTGAAACCCCCGGGTGTTTTGTCCCCCCCCCCCCCCCCCCCTCTCCCTCCCTCCCTCCCTCGCTGCTCGCTCCTCACTCAGCCTAGAAGTGCGGTGAATCATAAGAGGGAGATGGCTGCCCTGCTCTTTGATTGAATCCACATTTCCTTTCTCCTCCGACGCTGCAGATGGAGGCTTAGACGGAAGGCATGGGGAAAGCGAGAGGGAGAGTAAAAAAAAAAAAGAAAAAGGGGGGGGCAAGAAGGGGGGAGTCTTTTGTAGTGTGCACAGTACAAAAAAAACATGCACTGCAGATGAAAAGCATATGATTCGATCAAACGCAACTCTGTGGCAGCTACCTCACTGCGAGCGGTAGGTGGGAAGGGAGAGAGGAGGGAAGGGCCGGGCGCCATCCGCGGGCCCAGAGTGAACCCTACTGGCCGAGAGCGGCAGTGACGGGCTGGATATGACTTTCTTTATTGCTTTTAATGGTTAAACACATTTGGTTTATTGGTAGGAAAAATGTGCTTTTAGGGGAAAAAGGCCACGCTTTCAGATAGCATTTGGGGTTGAGTCGACAAATCCACCGGTTTACCCAAATAAAGTTCAGATGGAACTGGAACTGGATTGACATTTAAACAGTGAATATGTATTTGACAGAATATAACTAATGGAATAAACTATCTTTACAGAGCAAATAACTATCAACACAAAGGAAATAATCTGTCACTCCAATTGTAAAAGTGGCACCGACGTGTGCAAGCGAATGCAAAAGTCTCACTAATGTCTTTCTTGCTACTAGCTCATATAAGTAATATATTTAACCTCTGGTGTCAAAAGCGTCGTTCTTAAGTACACACGCAGAGTAAAGGTTTGTCAAAAGGACAACAAATTATTCAATAATTAATATGTACACACTAACTAAAAAGAAATACTGAAAGGGCACAAGTGTACATTTACTCAGCAGGTCATTTCTGAAAAGGTCCAGACTTTTCTTTTGAATTTGTTCAAAATGTTTTATTAACATTTCTTATGTTTCTTCATTCTATACGATGCTTAAATGTTCAATGTTGTCACGTAGTCACGTGGACGTACACTCGCACATACATGCCCGAGGCCTTGAACGCATCATTCTGTCCGTTGCTTTTTTTTTCCCTCCAGAAGCTTCTGTGACTGAGTTGTTGTTGCGTCTTCACACAATCCGTTTTTGCAGGAGTGTAGTTGTAGTTTTTTCTCACAGGAGTCCACTGATGCACTCGTTGATCTGCTCTGTCTTTCTCTCTCTCTCTGCAGCTCTCCTGTCCTCGTGGTGTGAGGAGCTGGGACGCCTCCTCCTCCTCCGGCATCAGAAGAACCGGCAGAACGAACCTCCGGGAAAAGTGCCCATGCAGCCCCCCATGAGCTCCATGAAGCCCGGCCTCTCGCACGGGTCAGTATTCGCACCGCCGCCCTTTTTGGCTCGTGTGTGAGATGTTTGTGTGTGTGTTTGTGTGAACAGACAGACCAGGCCCGTGGGGAAAGCCCTGCTTCTCCACAGGAACCCCTTTGGTTCCTTACGGATCAGTGGCCAGACTAACTGCTCGTAACACAGTCAATCCGGACAAACAGTAGCTCACTACGCGTAGAAGATGTTGTTAATAATCGCAGTGTTTGTGCATTTCGAGAGGAAGTGCATGCTTCTATTTCGTTAACAATAAAACCTTTGTTCTTTTCTCTGTCGTCCAGCCACTGCAAATATGCTTATTGCGACTGTGCTATCGTGCACTGCAAATATTTGTGCAGTGATGCAGGGAACATTTGATTTGCCTACATGATGTTTTCTCATCCCTTCTCAGCAGAGATGGGTCTTTTCCCTACGACTCGGTCCCCTGGCAACAGAACACCAATCAGCCTCCAGGTTCGTTGTCGGTGGTCACCACCGTCTGGGGCGTGACCAACACGTCGCAGAGCCAGGTGAGATCCCACGGCTGAGGACAAGTGTGTTGCTGCAGGACGTCTCTCAGCAGTCACCTTATTCCGATTTTGACATTTTCTGTCTTAAGGCAACGTTCACGACTGCATATCTCTCTGTATGTGGATGTCCAACAGGTGTTGGGGAATCCCATGGTGAACAACAACAATCCCATGAACCCCGGGGGCAACCCAATGGCCTCTGGGATGTCTGGTAGCAATCCAGGAATGAACTCTTCTCAGTTCCCTGGTCCTCAGCAGCAGTTCCACAGCAAGGGCAACTCCAACCAGGCCTACATGCAGCAGGGCATGTATGGACGACCCAACTACCCAGGAGGCGGAGGCTTTGGTGGCAAGTAAGTGGAAACTGTCTTTACGGCGATCAAAAATGACTTACAAAGACTGAATTATGTCAGATCAAATGGTTGCACTGCTCCCGCACAAGGCTTATATTCCGTCGCTTTTTGTCATAGTTACCCTGGAGGGCCCAACTCTGGACCTGGAGGAATGGGCATGCCTCAACACTCCCGTCCTCCGTCGGACTTCACCCAGCCTGCCGCCGCCGCTGCCGCCGCCGCCGTGGCAGCGGCAGCAGCCACGGCGACGGCCACTGCCACGGCGACAGTAGCCGCCATGCAGGAGACCCAGAACAAAGACATGAACCAATATGGACCGGTAAGACACAGAAAAAAAAAACGGATGGCCCCTCGCTCACTTGTTCTTGTCAATACTAGCAGAAGTACTGGAAAAGCAAACTGAGAGAAGTAGATGTAGAGTTAATGGTGAGCAAGGCTGAATCCCTGTTGAGTGAGAATAATTAGCTGGAGTCGTAATGGAGCCAAATGGCCCATTGAGCTGACAGGGACACTTTTTTTTCACATGGCAGAACATTTTTGTTTTTTGTAACTTTTAATATACTCTTTTCACTTGCCAAATTTGCAAAATTGAAAGAAAACTGTCAGATGGTTGGTTGATTGAACCCACTTTGCCTTCCAGATGAGTTCTTCCTTCCAGATGGGACCCGGCCAGGCCTACAACAGCCAGTTCATGAACCAGCCAGGCCCGCGAGGCCCTCAATCCATCCCCGGGAACATGGGCACTGGCATGAATCCATCCAACATGAGCGGACCCCCCATGGGGATGAACCAGCCCAGGGGCCAGAGCATGGGGCCTTTTGGGGCCCACGGACAAAGGATGCCCCAGCAGGGCTACGCAGGGCCCCGGCCCCAGGGCATGGGTATGCAGGGCATGAAAAGGCCGTACCCGGGCGAGGTGAGTGGATGTGAACTCACCACTATCCGCTTCGAGGTTTAACTTGGTTTGGTGTTGGTTGAATTCACGTACTGGATCGTCCCTTTATCCTCAGCCAAACTATAGTGGGCAGCAGTATGGTCCAAACGGCCAGTTCCCCAACCAGCAGGGTCCGTACCCCACACCCAACCCCACCAGGCCGCTGCCCTCCCCAAACTACCCTGGCCAAAGGATGCCGGGACAGCAGCTGCAGGGCCAATACCCGCCACCCAGTGGTGCCATGGGCCAGTACTATAAGGTGCAGTAATAATGCGATTCACAAAAAAAGATGATAATTAAATGCAGGGTATCGTACCACAACCCTTTTTACCAAGGTGTGAGCACCTTTTCGTTTTCTGTTCTAATTGCAGCAAGAGCCACCTTTTAATGGCCAAACAAATAACTTCTCTGGGAGTGGATATCAATACGGCCAGGGTAATATGAATGGGGTAAGTCCATTTTTTGTACCAGTTGTGATTCATCACTGCCTCGGCTGCTATTGGTCCTTTCAAAGATTTGATTAACTAATCAATTTTTGTATATATAGCCGCCCAGACCGGTGGGTAACTACCCTCACTCCCCAGTGCCAGGCAACCCCACCCCTCCAATGACCCCAGGAAGTAACATCCCTCCATACCTGTCGCCAAACCAGGACGTGAAGCCACCCTTCCCTCCTGACATCAAACCAAATATCACCGCTCTTCCTCCCCCTTCAGGTTGGTTACTCCAACAAACAAAAAAATCCAATTTACGAAGCTTAATAGTGTATTATTTCTTTAAAAGTTCATGATGGTCTAACCGTAGTTCTTCTTTAACCAACGCAGCCAACCACAACGAGGAGCTGCGCCTAACGTTCCCAGTGCGAGACGGGGTGGTGCTAGAGCCCTTCCGGCTAGAGCATAACCTGGCTGTCAGCAACCACGTCTTCCACCTACGGCCCTCCGTCCACCAGACGCTCATGTGGAGGTAAGACACGATATCTTTTCCTCATAATACGATAGTTGTATTTTTCCTCTAGAAATTGGGTCCTTTTGCCAATTGCACTTTTGGGTCTTATAGGTCTCTGACCTCTCAAACATTATCCGCTTCAGTAAAAGGGCTTTTCAAAGGTTTAAGAGAGAACAATGGCTTTATTGGAGTGAGAGGGAGAAAGGGAACTTTAACTTGTTCCCAGATGCTGCTTCTTGGGGTTCACAGTGTATATTTTGGTGGGGGAAAAAAACAAAACTGGTAGGAATATCTAACCCTCGGGTCATTTCTATTTTGCCATAAAATAAGTTGACGGTGCATAAATAGCTTATTTAAATAATTACAAGGGCATCAGTTGGAAGTGAATCATCCTTTAAAAATAACAAATTGTGTTATTTCCAAGAATATTGGATTGATTAGTCTTTCTGGCTTCTCTGATCATTCGATTGTCAGTCATCGGGGAAATTACATGACACTTAAGAGACATGAAGTAAAGGACCAATGGAAATTCAAGCTTTGGTTTGCCACACTTTTTAAAATTAAAACCCCTACTATTCCCAGCCAACTTGTAGAAGGTCATTCATGCATTCATTTTCTCTGATTTAGATTATTGTAATTCCCATCACTCCCCTCTCAAGCCAAAGTCCCTCTTCCATCTGGAGCTTATTACGAGCCTCGCCATAAAAACTCTTTCCGGTGGCACCTTGTGAGACGACATCAATCTAAATCACCGGTGTTCATCTTGCTTCAGGATGGGCTGTGAGCCTTTGAGAGGATGCAAACATCGGACTGCGGTTGCCTTTTATGTCGCGCAGAACACTCCGTAACACCCACTAATGAATGTATTTATGTGCCTGTCCGGGCAGATCGGACCTGGAGCTGCAGTTCAAGTGCTACCACCACGAAGACCGTCAGATGAACACCAACTGGCCGGCATCTGTGCAAGTCAGCGTGAACGCCACTCCGCTCACCATCGAGCGGGGCGACAATAAGACCTCCCACAAACCCCTGCACTTGAAACAAGTGTGCCAGCCAGGAAGGAACACGATCCAGATCACAGTCACCGCCTGCTGCTGTGTGAGTAAACAAATCTGCAGAACTGATGCTAAAGAGGTTTATGCAAAAGATGACAAAAAGTCAGACGTATTCATATAATTTGTGTAATAATACATATTTTCACAAAAACGCTGTGTCATTGACGTCGACGTTTGCTCTTGCAGTCGCACTTGTTTGTGCTGCAGCTCGTCCACAGGCCCTCAGTTCGCTCCGTCCTGCAGGGCTTACTGAAGAAGAGGCTTCTGCCTGCAGAGCACTGCATCACCAAAGGTATATGAGGGGGGAGAAAAAACACACACACACACAAGTCACCTTCTGCACCGCGGCGGCCTAAGCGATCGTCCCTGCTCACGCACATTCATTTCTCCCCTGCCGTCTCAAAGTTAAGAGGAACTTCAGCAGCGTCGCGGCGTCGTCGGGGAACACGGCGCTCAACGGAGAGGACGGCGTGGAGCAGACGGCCATTAAGGTTTCCCTCAAGTGTCCAATCACCTTCCGGCGAATACAACTTCCAGCCAGAGGCCACGACTGCAAACACGTTCAGGTAATACCAACACACTGAGAGTCAAACGGCACACCAAAAGAAGGATTTGAAACTGATGTACATGTGTGATATATGCCTTTTTTTTCTGTCTCTTCCAGTGTTTTGACTTGGAATCATATTTACAACTTAACTGTGAGCGGGGGACATGGCGATGTCCTGTATGCAAGTAAGTTTCTCCAGTTTGAATACACAATAACAGATTGTACGTTTGACTGTAATTCACGTGATTCTCTCTCTCAGCATTTTAAAGCCCGTCTCTCTCTCTCTCTCTCTCTCTCTCCCCCTAGTAAAACAGCGTTGTTAGAGGGACTCGAAGTGGACCAGTACATGTGGGGGATTTTGAACGCCATTCAAAAGTAAGCTCAACACGCCTTTGCACTGCATGCAGTTTACTTCTCTTTGTCTCCTTGTAGCTTAACCACTTCCGTCTGTATTTCGCCAGCTCGGAGTTTGAGGAAGTGACCATCGACCCGACATGTAGTTGGCGACCGGTGGCCATTAAATCCGATATCCACATCAAGGAGGATCCAGATGGACCGCTGGCCAAGAGGTTTAAGACTATGAGCCCCAGCCAGATGATCATGCCCAATGTGATGGAGATGATAGCTCAACTCGGCCCCGGACCGTCACCGTACCCGTTGTTGTCTTCTCAGCAAGGGGGCAACAGTGAATACGGCAGCCAAGGTAGGATGCAGGGTCATTACCTCCCGCCGGCCCCAGTAAACATGTTCTAAATTTTAATTAGATGCACAGCAAAAGTAGCATCAAGTGATTTACTGTTTTTTTTTTTTTTTTAGGCAACAGTTACCAGGGCCACGGGAACTTTGACTTCCCCCACGGGACGCCTGGTGGTACGTCGATGAATGACTTCATGCACGGCCCCCAGCTGTCTCACCCGCCCGACATGCCCAGCAGCCTGATGACCCAAGACAAGCCCCTCTCACACAACATGCCTGACTCAGTGAGTTCATGAGCTCTGCATCTAAGCATCTCTCTGTCTTTTTAACACATTTTCCTTCTGTTTATTAAACTTTTACTTTGCAAATGTGTATGTGTGCACAAAATGACCTGTATATAAATCTGGTGTGAGAATGAATGCAATCGGGCTGTGTCATGTTTTCAGTCATTAAAGATAAATGCTCCCTAATTAAAATGAGTATTAGTTAGTCTGAAGATTTCCCCTGTCTCCCTGCAGATACCTCACTCTGCAGGCAACGACCAGTCACACGGTCCTCTGCAGAGCTTACATCCATCTCCGCACCCTGGGAGCCAATCAGGACAGCAGCTACACCACAGCGGGCCTCATCAGCCGCCACGACAAGCTCCGCCTCCTCAGCAGCAGCAGCAACAGCAGCAGCAGCAGCAGCCGCCCGGCCCCAACAACCATCCCCACGGCGACCTGGCTTTCAACCCATCCAGCAGTTTGGACAGCCAAGCGGGGTCGGACATGCCCGAGCCATCTTTAGACGTGAGTCTCGACACACGGCGTTCAACACCGTTGATTCAGTCTTCGATGACCCGTGCTCACTACAGTGACTAAACAAACCACCTCTCCTTCCTTACAGCTCCTCGCAGAGCTGGCTAACCCAGACGAGCTGTTGTCGTATCTGGATCCACCGGACCTCCCCGGCAATAGCAACGACGGCCTTTTATCGCTCTTCGAAAACAATTGGGCAATTCAGACACATATGAACTTTTTCTGAGTGCCGGCAGTAGTAACCCCCCCTCCCCTTCCACACACACACACACACACACACACACACACACACACACACACACCCCCGAGAACCCAGGGCGGTCGCACAGTACTTGATAAACACAAAGATGTACTCCCTTTCTCTTCTTCCTCTTGTACAGTTTTCATTGGCCAGCACAGATTGACTGAAAGAGGTAAAAACTCCCAAGACAGGGCGCGACGCCCCCAGGCGATACTTTTGACCTGTGCAGCTATACTCGGTTCATCTTTTTTTACGCCACAAACAGGTGTGTATGTGTGCACATTAGGAACATGTTGTAGCATTTCTTTTGTTTTTTTTTAATCTTATGTTTTGTTTCCTTTTGAGAAGAAAAAAAAAAGTGTTCAATGTATAAAACAGAAAAATAGCTGTTAAAAACCTGCGCTATCTGACCAGTGTGCGCCATGTCCATGTTGTTATTCCAAACAGAGAGGCCACAGCTTCCTGGTGTCACAGCTCCATTCCCTAACTGGTCCGGTTAGCCGCACTGTTTTGTCCACCACACGTCATTTAAAAAGCACAAGAGGTTCTGGCAAATGCCAAATGAACGATCGGGTTTTACGAAGGAAAGAGAACAGATACGGTTAGATTGGCCTGTCCGTCCTTGACGAAAACGTTTTTAAAAGGTTTTTTTGCTTGACATTTTGAAGAGGTTTTTTGGGAATAATCGGCTTCCACTTTGTCTACAATTGTGATACATACATATTTTTGTCAGAAAAAAAGGTATACCTGCTCTACAGTCCTAAGAGTAAAGTGGTGGAAAAACTGAAAAACACAATAGCATACCTGTACTTCCACATATTGTTACCGTCCTCCTGTGCAGAGGAGTGCTTTTAATGGAAAGCTACAAAATGAGAGATCTGGGTTCCTGTATAGTTCCTGCTGCGTTTATTGCTTCCTGCTGTGACTCCTTCCATGCCGTCTGTTCTGCGTGAGCCTCGGCGTCGCACGTGTCAGCAATTCTGCAACGATGCATCTCTCCGCCTGTTAAATGATGTGCTGTTAAAGTAGTCTACAAAGTGCATGTGTGCCAAGCCCAAGTCTAGTGCTGTTCCAAGTGGTAACAAGAAAAGATAGTGTGGTTTTTATCAGTTGCTTTTTTTCGTGGCTTTTTTTGTTTTTGTTTGTACGTTTTGGTTTCATTTTCCATCAGATTTAGTATTAGTATTTAACACTAACATTGAAGGGATAATGCCGATGTCAGCAATACATTTACCGAGTGTTTGCTGGATATACTGTGTTATGTTTGTTTGTTATCGCTTTCTTTTTGTTGCTGCGTAATTTAACTATCCATAAATCTTTTGGGAAATTGCTCAACATCACCAAAGTCGGAAGGATGAGGATGGAGAGGTTTGTGTTTGCTTGACCCTCTGTGAGACTGCGAGTGCGTGCATGAGTGGGTGTGAGATTGTGCGCGTGTGTGTCCATCAGTGTGATGGGAAGAAATATTGATTTCAAAGATATAGGGGAGGACGAATACAGTTTATCCATCACTGCTGTTCAAGAAGTGGTTTTTAAAGCAGTATTGGCCGCAGACCTTTTGCCACTTTTGTTTTCAATTTCACTTTTTGAGAAGAGCGCTGTTCAGTATGCAAATGTATTATTTTTAAAAGAAGATGCTATTGTACTGTAAATATCATTGTGAATATTTTTGTATCATCTCGATGATGTTCGTCCTTGATCATTAGTCGTCCGACCTAACAACACACGCTCCCAGGCTCCCATCTAACCACTGACTTTGTTTGTAACCAGCATACGACAGCTGTCTCGCCTCCTCGTTGTGGGGGGGCGAGTCTAAATGTCTCATAAGCTATTTCCCCCAGGTTGCCGTGCTTTCTAGTCACTTTCCTCCCAGTGCACTCACCTGTCTCACACCTGTCGTTTGTAGACGGTGTCCCATTTATATGTGCCGCCCCCCACCCCTCCTTCCCCCAAACCCTCCATCCCAACATCAGCTCACAGTGGTTGTGTAGCCTCATTTCAGTTTTCTTTTCTTTTACGCCGCCGTATTTTATCAAAAGTGTTGTCTGTTCATCAATTTATGTTAACATTTTATCAGTGATTCTGAACAGTAATAGTTTAAAAAAGATGTGGTGTCGACTGGCTTTCAGTGTAATTAGTGAGCTATGTGAATATCATAATTGTTGCTAATTGTCAATACACAGTGGTATCACAACAATATTTTAAAGAAATCCATAATATTGTTTATATTTTTGTTATAGAAAATTTGGCTTTTTTAAAAGCATGAAACCGTATACATTTTTATCCCCTTTTTTGTTTTTGGTAAATTATTTTGTACTGGTTTTTCTTATTAATCTGTAAGGCTAGAAATCCAATTTCTTTCAACTGTAGCATTGTGCTGATTTAACCACCCTCGTTTTATGTAAACATTATTTTAAGTGTCATTTAAGAAATATATTTTTTCCAGTTCAGCACACTGACATGTTGTTGCATATTTATGTCACAAAGAGACATTAAATTAAAATATCCACGTTTTACTATTTTACTATCAGAATTGAAACTTTCAATCAATCCGATGGACGTCATCACTATTTCACATTTTGTCTTTACTTTCAAGCGAGCAAATTTCATATAAGGCAGCACCTCAAATGTGTTGTGGCACAATCACAATAAATGGTCATTTCTCTGGGGGAAGTTGTTTTCAAAAAAGGAAAATTTGAAATGACAAAAAGATAACAGTGGCCTGGAAAAGATGTTGAGGGCAAGGCCAGATCAAACGTCCCAAGGATGCCTGTATATATGTAAATGAATATAGAGACATGTGAACAGAAATGTATTCATTTTCCCTGGGAATGTGCATTGTTTTTTTCCGAATAATAAAAAGCTTGCAACCCCTCTACTGGAAGTGGCTGAATATGGAAAATTAAACTTGTTAGTTAGTGTCTGTGGGTATCTCTCAGCATTTTGTTCTCATGTAACATACTTTCAGCTCTTTATAGTAGGAGAACTGGGACAGCTATGTTTTACATGTAATATTTAGCCTGTGTTCTAGTCTGTCACCTGCACACTCGAGGGGCTGAACTAAAAAAGGAAGAGGAAAAAAAAAGGTTACATAGAAAATTGTTCGGAGGGGTGAGAGCAAGGTGGTGGGTTGGACGGGTCCAGAAGATTGTAACCAAATCCATAGTTTGTACAATTTTTTGATATCATGAGAAGTTTGAAAAATCCTACAATCTAAGGTGATTCATGCAATGTGGCCATTGTCTCTATTGTGTACATTGTATGTACAATCATTTCATATTCTAAACTGGTCAGAAAATAAAAGGAACTAATTGTGATTTTTAGTCTTGCAGAACTTGTATGTAGTTAGATGATGTGACAACCTAATATTTATCTAATAAATATGTATTCAGATGATACTTGTACGTCACTGTGGTCGTGTCTTTTGTGCACTTGCGTCATAGTCTAAGGATCACACCTGTCTAACTCCCAAAGGCTGATTATGCAAGCAGAAGGTGTAAATTATGGCTATCACGTTTTAATTCAAGTAGCTTAGGGCCAGCTTGTAATTATATGGAATTAATAACTGCCCACATTCATTAACATCACAGAACAACAGAAACAAGGTTTGTTTGTTAACAGCTCATTAGATGATTTGGAGGATTTGATCAGTCATTTGAACTATGTTGTAATAATTTATATTAATGATGATGCATTGAAGTCTGAGAAGCAGCCTACTGTTGTAGCTGCTCAAGGTAGTGACACAATTTTACTATTGTATACTGTATACAGTTAGACGGTTCAGTCCATTGGTTTGAAACCTAAAGGTCTGCAATTTTAAACAAAAAAGCTCCATTTGCAGCCATGAAATCATTTTTACTATTTTGTTTTATATGTTATTAAATACATTCATAAAGGTATATGTATGTTTTTTCTCTATTACTATAATGTTGATGTTATTTCTACAAATCAAATAGGGTTGCCACTGGCTACACGCGATCAGGTGTAATCTCGCGAGGTTTCAATCCGCCGTCGTTTAGGGAAGAAGATGTACTTCCGGTGATGGTTCCTCCCCCCTCGTAACGTTACGCGTGACCGACTCATCGACGAACACAGCGTCTCGGTGAACCGCATTACCTTCTCTTTTAAAAATAAAAATGTTAATTATACCGAACAGGATAAAGTTATGTTCCCTGGCGTTCACCGCCGCGCGCATGTACAGCAGCGGCCCCGCGGCCGCCAACAAGAACCCGACGGTTTACTTTGACATTGCTGCGGACAACCAGCCCCTCGGGAGGGTGACCTTTGAGGTGAGACGGCGTGTCCCTAACGGCTAAGAGTGCACGGCGAGTGCCCGGCGCTGTTGTGGCCGTGTCCTTGCGACAGGCACCGGTTCGTTTACGGCAGGTGTTGCTCGGAGGTGGAAGCGTGAGATCGGCGCACGTTGGAACAGGAGCGGATCGCTCGCACGCTGCTGAGTAACTCTCCTTTTTTCTTTTCTCTTTGCAGCTAAACGCCGACGTGGTGCCAAAGACTGCAGGTGAGTACTCGCACCTCCAACCCACCCGAGAGGCAAATGCTGTCTGGCTGCTTTAGTCGGATGAATTGACGGATTAAGATGAACTCACCCAAAAATAAGAGACATTTGAGCATGATGTTTTGTGTTTGATCAAACCAGCCAACAATACACAAAGTAGGGCCTCCTTCACCAAGGTCAGCAGTAAACTGAAGCGTATGCAGCAATGTTATTGGAATCAGGAAACATTTATTGCCAAAATATGTCATACATACAAGGAATTTGACTTGGCGGTTGGCGCGTGACAGTAGACAGTGTAACAATAGACAACAAGACCGCAGTGCACAAGTAATAAAATAAAGTAATACAAAATATGGGATCCAATAACATCATACAGATAACACTAACAGGGATCATATCACTGCACATTGAGCGCTTTCCCTTTTTTATATTCGAATTACGGTGCTTTGGCTCAAGTAAGTGATCAATACTGAGTGGGACCCAGCTCGGATCATCCTCACTTGAGGAAGCCACGAAGCAGACGGGGAATCTGACATGCATCTTTTGTGGCAGAGAACTTCAGGGCGCTGTGCACCGGGGAGCACGGCTTCGGTTACAAGGGATCCACGTTCCACAGGGTGATCCCTCAGTTCATGTGCCAGGTAGGCTTCCCTCCTTTGTGTCCTCCTTGCCGTCGAGCGTTACAGCTGTTAAAGTCTGTATTTGTTTTCTTTTATTGCAGGGCGGTGATTTCACTAACCACAATGGAACTGGAGGCAAGTCGATCTATGGCTGGAAGTTTCCCGATGAGAACTTCAAGCTGCTGCACACCGGACCTGGTAATCGCCCCGCTCCTTTTGTAACACTACTGAGAACGTCACGGAATTTAGTATTCAATTACAGTTTTCTTTCATTCTTTCAGGGCAAGTCAGTTTGTATTACAGCCATCTAACACCATTTCCTTAGATGCAAGAAGCAGGACAGACCGGGCTGCACAGACTGCAACATTAGGACGGTCCACTTAAAAACTACAGAGTTTAATAACGTGACTGTAGTGCAAATCACTTTTTACAAGCTGCACTGTCTGACAGATAAGCAGGGGTTTTCTTCCTCCATGGCTAATATTGGAAACCAGGCTAGGTTACAATATTTATTGTTGTAATGAGCATCCAACAAACAGCAACGGATTAAGTATTTGTGAGTGCCCTGCTCTGCCTTTGCAAGGGGACATTTCCAAATATCATTTAAGCTAAATACACATGACGCTTCGTGTTCCACGTTGCCACATGGTTTGTCTTCCCCATCTTCCCCACCAGGAGGCAGAGTTGAACAAATCGTGTTTGAGTGATCCCCTTTCATAATAAACTTGGTGATGAGAAGAAATGATTCTCTCAATGTACCATTTCGCAACAGACCTCTTGATTTCTAGAAGGAGGAAAAGCACACAAATAACAGCAACAAAGGCTTTTTTTAATCCAGCCATCCTCCGTTGTTTTCTTCTACCCAGTTATTTTCTTGGTATTACATGTTGAACTGTCTTATGTGACCATGAGATTGGAGTTTGCGTACGTATGCCAGGGATCCATGACCCTTACTGATTTGTTCTTTTGTTTCTTAGTGATTCAGTACATTTTTAAATCGGTCTTTCTGTAGCTGAAAGGCGGTTGGTTTGTTTGTTTTTTACCAAACACATGACAAGTTTTAAAGTAGTAACACCTTTTTAATTGCTGCATTGTAGGCATCTTGTCGATGGCCAACGCCGGACCCAACACCAACGGATCCCAGTTCTTCATCTGCACCAGTAAAACAGAATGGTATGTGCCTTTTCATCCTGCTCTACACGTTGTCAGTTTCAACAAATAACTTTTTATTTTGGGCGTTCAACTGGTAGATTCCATCCAGTTGGGGAAACTTTAGTGATCAATTCAACCTCGTTGTGAATTCTTTGTACATGACGACCTAAAATGGCAAAACCCTTGCGGGAATGGTGGCATCACCATCAACGGAAAGGCGAGAGTCCGTCCCTGCTGGGTGCATCGGGGGTCGTCTCACAGTCCCGAGCCGTGATAATAAACCTCCGCTTTCTTCATTTAGGCTGGACGGCAAGCATGTTGTCTTTGGCAGCGTGAAGGACGGACAGGACGTGATCAAGAAAGTGGAGTCCTTCGGGTCTCAATCCGGGCGAACCTCCAAGAAGATCACGATCGCCGACTGTGGGGAGCTCAAGTAGTCGATGCCCCCAACCCTCCCCCCGCAGGCTGCCCCTCCTCGCTGCAGCAGATGCTTACATATCATCTCTGCCTCGGTCTTTCTTCAGGTACCGGCGCTAACGCACTCAACTGTGACATAGACTAAAATGTGAACGTGTGTTTTTCAATACAAAATGACCACTATTGTAATTGAGGAGATGTTCATTCCTGATCATGAAATGGGTTTGGAAGATACTAAAAAAATAAAGTATACATTTTTTCGTAAATTGTGGAGTTGTTTCTGCCATCTGCTCTTATATTACATCACCGTGGATGTCCAAGCAGTACGAACTGCTTCACACCAAAGCTGTTTGAGTCAAAGGTGTGTTTATTGGGGGGTTGGAGGGGTTGTTTTACCAGGTGAGTGAGATTAGTGTCGCTCTTCCCGCCTCCTGTTTTCCTCATCAGCCTCCATTGACTAATGGTCTTATTCTGCTAAGTATTTATTCTGCTGACATCTTTCCAGAATACTTAAGTTGTGAAATGTCAGAGGCCATTGCTCCTGCAAAGGGAAATGTTTTATTTGGGGGGGGGGTTTGTTCTACTCGTTATGTTGCTATATGAGAGGGTGATTTTTCTTCACCATAAAAAAATTAAACCAGATGCAGGAAAAATATTAAGAGAGATGGAGATTGTGTCTAATGTTGTGGTGGAAATAAAAGTCCATCACATCTGGAAGAGTTAATGTTGAAGACAGATCTTATCGGTTGTCGGCTATACGGACTTTTGTGGACTTTGCATCTAATCCACACTGATTTATTATAAACGACGCTCTTATAGAAACCGTATACATCCAAGTTTTAAATACATTTTAATACAAAAAACATTTTAAGAAATAATTTCAGTAAGGCACAATAAATGGTGTATCACATGTCTTACACAGTTATATAAACAGTATTTCGGTTTCATACTCATTTATCATCACAATTTCATTGAAAAACAACTTTCTACTTGGATCCTTCATCAAACCTAATCCTGAAACCTTTGGTTTGTCCAGATGTGCGCTCCTTTCCGTCTCATTTGACATACAAGACACATTGCGACTTCTGACCCCTAAAAAGCACATTGGTGGGACTTTCCCACTACTAACATGTATTCTATTTTTTAAGAAATCTAAAAGTTTCTATTATATTGCATTGCTTTAATAGTTGGAATGACACACTTCCTACAGACAAATACTTGTAAAGAATAAATGTTAGTTGGCTAATATATTCTTTCACAATGTGTAATAATCAACAAAAAAGTAATGACTTAACAATATATTCAAAAATGATGTACCCTCCAGTACGGATAATACAGATAATAATAATAATGCAGATACACACGGATACTGAATATCCTACTTAGCAAATACTTGTTGCATATTTTATACAGAAACATCATTACATTTAAGTTATTTCTGGAATAAACAAACATGTAAAAGAAAATCTTCATCTGGACTCTTTTGTTCCAACATGTTAGACATGAGTGAATACAGACAAAGGATTTTTTTTTCCTAATTCACAGTTGGTAAGATTCATAGTTAAGACTTCAACTGAATATTCACGTAATGATAACTGAGTAAATTACAAGAACCCAGCAAATATAAAGTAAGATGATTCTCTTATACTCTCATATATAGAATCACAGTGTCAAAGAGGCTCATGAGAATGAAACCGTTAGATGCATTAGATCCAATAAAGTAAATAGATGTATTTTCCGTAGATAAAATATACCTATTTTATAAAGCTTGGAAAGGGGTACGTAAGGTGAGTGGAGTGTTTTTATTGCACGCGGCGGCAGTAGTAGCCGAGGTCTTTGCACTTTTCACACAGGTGTTGTGGATGCTCCTTGCTCTGGTCCGACACATCCAAGCCGTCCGGTTTCTCCAGAGGTCGCTGGGAGAAAAAAAAGAAAAGGAATCACTTCTCGCAGTCAGAGCAGTCAATGAAAACCCTAAAAGTCCAGTTGCGATAATATTTTTCATTTATTTATATATTTGGGTCGTGTGTTCTTGCCATTGGGGATACTTCTATAAAACAGCGTTCATAACATTAAGACTTAAATTGACACTGAAATGAATGGATGAATTGTACATTTGATTAACCTTTTGTTGTCTAATCATTAGCTCAGAACGCATGCAATGCATTTAAGTGCAGGAAAGGCAGTTTTTTCCCTGAGATAATTCAACTGAAACAGACCAGGTGCCCATTAAGAAACCCCACGAGGAAGGCTCCATCTTTGGGCCCCTCCGCTACCAAGCAGCCACCCCAGTTTGCTGACGTATGTGTGGGTCGGATGGACTTTTACCTGCTTATGAGGGTAAACGTTGATGTGGCACTTGATACATTCTTGTCCCATGTTGGCCCAGGAGTTCCCGCTCATCCACTTCCTCTTGCATTTAGGACATTTGTATTCGCCGAAGCACCTCTTCTTTCCCTGATACGGGGTCAGGCCTTCTCCTTTGGGCCGAGCCTGAACACAATCGCACAGCAGACCACACGTTACTGACTTCGCCTTAACCCACTCGATGCTAACGGCATGTAAACCGCCATAGCTTTATTTGGGCTCTTGCCTCTCAACGCCGTTAACCTGCGTGAGACTGACCGACCTGTTTGGGGGTCTTTGGACAGCAGCCAATTAAAAGCTGGGTGGAATTGGAGCAGGAAGTGATAGCCCCGCTGAGCCGAGTTCCTCCAGTAGCTTTGTCCGAGGAATGAGACGATTATTTACGGTGTCTGTCAAAATAAGTTAAAGAGCTCATTTGCTTTGTAGCTTAATTAACGCGGCCCCCTAAAAGTGAGCCATGCGGTAAAATACAAGTGGACCTTTTTATCTGAACTATACAAGACCGGTGCAGACATTTAAATGACTACGGAGAAGAAAAACTATTCAAACAAAGTTGGAACATATATACTGTGTGCTTAAAGCAGCCCAACTTAAGAAATCCTGTTTAAGTGAGTTCTTAGTCAGATTTAAAGCATTGGGATCAAGTTATGGTTTGAATATCAGGATAAGCCACCGTCACAAATCTAGTATTAGCTGATGTGCAAACGAAGAAGTGCCTTAACATTTTTCTGAAAGTCTAGAGTAAGTAAGTAAGTAAGAGTAACATAGATGCTGAAGCAGGGTTCGCCCTGTGCCGTGGTTTACACAACTTTTGCCATTCTGGGACATCTTGTCTTACAACTTGAACCTTTCCCAGTGTGTTTTCTGCTTTGTGTCTCCTAAAGAGGCCTTCCTCCAGCCTTTTGGCACTTCTGGTTTTATCAGAAGTGCAGCTAAGAACAGCTAAAAACCATAATGGTGACGGCCAGCATGTCCAGCTCCAGTGATCAAAACAGCAGTCCACGAACCAGTGGGACATCACAGTACGTCCACTTCTTATATAAAGCGTATGACGTGAACAAAAGCAAGGGGGAGCTGGGATAACAACACACACATGGAGAGGGCAAACTCGTTTTCTGCTCAGTTAGACTTACATCCAGCACTCTTTACCCAGCAAATGGTTGTTTACTCCCATATTTATGGGCTGAATCCCTGTGAAGGTATTTGTTGGACGGAATAGGAGTCGTCTCAGCTTTCCCATTAGAAATGAACTCCCCCCCTTCCAGCTGTGTTCTCGAGGGACCGTAAAGGAGGCCCCGGCCTGTGTGGGGGGGGCAATGGGAGAGCCCTCCCTGCTATAGGACAAATACCTCCGGCACTCTGTCATCCCTCCCAGCTGGCTCCAACCCACCAATCAGGACATGAAGATCTTAGCAGAGAGGAAATAAAACCCAGATGAACCCTGCATTTGTATAACATGACAAAATCCTGAACCCATCACGACCAAGTCGTCTCGACACGACTGGTTTAGATTAAAAAGCGCCTCGGCTGGAAAGTAGGGCAAGTCCAAAATTAAGGTCTGAATCTGCACCACCAGAGGGGTTCACGTCATATCTTGTTTGGATTTCACAGCAGGTACACATGTCAGGCTCAACACTTCTTACAGATCTTGGTATTCACTCGGGAACTCTACGTGTGTTTAACAAAACGCGCCGCGGTTCCAACAGTCAAGGGTCTCCACTGTGAAGGCCACGGTGAAGCAGTTCCCGGCATGTGTTTGCATCATTTTAGCCACCACGAGGCACCGTGGGGGGGGGGGGGGGGGTCCCGTTTGATGATAGCCCTCTTTCCCAACAGGGAGAGCGCGGCATCATCTTCCTGAGGGAGGAAACAGCTTTCATTCTGCAGAACAAGCAAAACAAAGTCTACCCCAGAGCCCGGCGCCCCACAGTGCAGCAAAGGGCATGGCACAGTCCGTAGTTTCCACCGGTGCCATCAGACATGTGACATCTCACCACCGGTACATGAAAGTCACACTCGTGACCCGGCAACGACTGGATGCGCTGATGGAAAAGCAGGAACGTTTTAGTGACCGCCGAAAGAATGCACAAATCTACAGTTGATTTAACAGACCTAACACACAATGAATTATATTTTATTATGTGCCTAGAAGAAACATTAAGGTATTTAAATTAGTTAAATAAATATTATTCAAACCAACACAGTGGGTGTCTCAAATGGGCAAGATTAAAAACACAACAAAGTAAAAGCATGAAAAATGAGGTGAAGCATTTAGAGTGATTCACTATTACAGTCACGGGAGGCCAAACAACAATTGTTACTTGTTACAAAATGAGCAACTTGGTTTGATGCCAATCAAACAATTTCACTGACAAAAGTTCATCAGTGCCGCAGCTAAAAATGGAGTGTATTTTCGGGCAAGAGTCAACCATAGTGCTAATATTTAATAATTACTAATCAGCACTAAACACAAAGATCTACCGAGGCTAACGTATAGCTATTGTCATGTGTTTTAAAAAGTAAAAAGTGAAAGTTGTTGAGATGTTTCTGGTCCCACCCCCGAAGCCGAGCTGCTGGCGTGGCTGCAAACCAAGTGGCCTATTGTTCTAGGCTTAGTCGAAGGTTGCTTTTGGACTAACATTCTGTTAATGCTTTAACTCTTCTTCTCACACAGCTAAAAATACATGTTTTCATTCTTAGACGGCTTTCATGGAAAATATTTGCAACCTCAAAACTATCTGTGAGAAACTTTTGTGTTTAAGAAAAATAGATGTTAAATTAATTTATTATGTGCAGCACAAAACATCCCATCCAAGGGTCATAACTCCTGTCGCGTAAACGGCCCCCGAGTAAGTAACGCCAGAGTATGGGGTTGTGGCAGATAAGCAGCCTGGTGAGAGAGGCCCGGGTGGTTGGCTGCCTCCCCCCCCCTGCCATCATCTGGAAACCATCAGGATAAACAATGGACTACCCAAACCCACCTCTCCCTCCTTTCTCCCCCCCACACTTTCATAGCCCCGTGAGACGCTCATCCTGGAGAACGCGGCCTATTGGATACCATGTGGTCAATTACTCCGCACTAACAAACCCGCAGTGCTCTCTCTCTTCCTCTCTCTCGCTCCCTCGCTGGTTTAATTTGTATCAGACCCCCACAGCATCAGGGAGAAGTCCAGCTGTTAGCAAAGAAAAAAAACACATTACTGCCAGGACTGAAATCCACAGCAATGTGTATGCTATGTTTTAAAAGAGCCCTGTGTTGACTTACGTGGCCCTTTTTATTAATTTGTGAAATGAATTATCTCAAAGTGGGTTTAAAGCAACACATTGATCACTTGCAATCTTCCAGAGCATCAGAATAGCTGTTTTGTTTTATGGGAGACAATTAATATTGCACCCAAAGAGAGGCTAGGGGATGGCTTGTGTTCGTGATACAGTACACATTTAAACTGCTGTTTTTTTAAGGAAAGAAATGCCTGCTTTTGCATGGTTGGGATTTACTTTTTCTCCGTTTTATATCGCTGTAAAACCAATAAATGGATGAAATAAACGTTGGGGTTTTAGGGTAGTGGTTGGACAAAACCAGCTGTTTGAAAACGCAGCTTGAATAATAGTAGTTGTCCTCCTTCCAAGAAAGGAGAAAGAAATCTTTTCAAAGAGTCTTTTTCACGATGCAACACATATACTGTAACTTTTTATGCTTGAAACACACTTACTACAACTTTTCGGACGGCATTAGTTTCTTTTGATTTCATGTCACAGTTGTAACAAAGCAAATAGCAACTGAACAATCATGAGAAATCCAACCCTGTGTCTCCATCGGAAGCATCTCTCTCATTGACATATCAGATTATCATGACCGTTAACTCAACTTTACTAGATATGAAGCTGTAATCCGCAGTCTTTTTGCAAATCTTGCATATCTAAATCCTCCCTCCGCCCTCCAAACCACATATGATTAGACTGAAAGAACTGGAGGCCAAACAGCAAATTTTTGTTTTCCGACATGGCTTTCCAGATTTTCAATCTTGCACCAGTCCCATTGTTCTGAGCCTGCGGAGAGAGATTTCCTCACACGCGGACTCCCAGGCAGTACTCTTCTCAGCATCTACTTCACGCCCGGTGTTGCTTTCACAGGAGGATTATCGACACCAAACACACTCGGCCCGGTGCAGGCTCTGACCGAGCCGCAGTCACACAGCTGTAAACCGGTGTTGCGTTTCACAAAGGGTGAGTGGCAGAGCCAGGTGGTGGAAATAATACGACAGCAACATATTCCCAATTCCAGTTGAAAACAGAGCTGAGCGAGACTCAGGGCCAAATGTTATGGCTGTCGTGTCAACGTGATGCCCGGGTCAGGTTAACAAGTCAGCTATTAGTTTGATTTCATCGTCATGTTGAGGAATTGGTGCATAGAACTCTGCTGTCACGTTTTGAAGTTGATGTAAGCGAAGCATGTATTGAAGAGTCATACCAAACTTCAGAATAAGTTCAAAAGCTACTTGATGGTCCAGGTGAGATTGTTCTGAAAACTGCTGTTTCCAAAGTTACATTTCAAGAGCACATTTCCTAAAGATGTGATACTGTGTGTTTGGAGCCACAGTGTGAGAAAGACATTTTCTCAGAATGACAAAAGGGTTTTATCTTGAAAACACGTAACCGTACACGTACAAACAGACTTGCGCAGCATTCTTCTCCGATATGTTCGTTAGCTTTGAGCGGAGGACGGACACTTTTTATCAGCGGGAGTCTATCTACCCCACATACCACGGTTTCCTCTATCTTGCTCATCCTCCTCAGCAGATGAGCCGGCCAAAGGCAACAGACACCGAGGACAGATAAGAGGTTTATCACCAGTGAAAACAAAAGAACCAAAGCAGCTGTAATTAGTCAGCGTTGCTTGAGATTCACCAGTTTCACATTCGCCGATGAATTGCGTCGCTCCACCTGTGATGTCCAGTCCAAAAAAAAATAAATGAAACTAATGTCGTTATCAGTACTTGAACCAAGATATCAGCAGAAAAGATGCTCTCAACTTGTGTAACGGATTAAACAAACCACATATCGGGTGTTAGTGGAGGACTGTTTCCAGTCTGCAGGCTAAGCTAGGCTAGGCTAGCTAACCGCTGGATGTTGCTTCTTATACAACGGAATAATATGAGAGTGGTATACATGTTCTCATCCAACTCGTTACAAGAATGTGATTATCTATCTCTCCCAAAATGTTGGCTTTTTCCTTTAAAAAGCCACTAAGAAATACTGCCAGTATTTACTTCTATGGTGTGGTGTTGGATTAGATGTTAGCTTTAATGTTAAAGGTTGCACGTGACCCAAAACAGATCAATGAAGTACTGTGGAATATTTTTGGATGTGAAAGTTATTTAACATTATTACTTTTATTCAATAATTGTAAGTGGCGTATAGAGCAGCTGCTTAGCTTAGCACAAAGACTTGAAACGAGTTAGCCTGACTCACTTCGTATCGTGTTTGTTTAATCTGTACAAAGTAGAAACTGGAAATCATCTTAGAGACGTTGATCTGTTTCACTCTTTATGTGCCAAACAGGTCATGAATCATCTGCACGCCTTGCAACCGTCAAAAGTTCCTCCATCCAAAGTAATCATCAAGGCCGAGGTTTTCCTTCTATTCAAACCCGATCAAACTTCAACTGCAGACACACACACACACTTCCTGTGCTACCCACTGTTTCCAAAAACACATTCTGGACGCAGACATGTCTGGGCAGCTGCTCTCTGGCCCTTTAAACGAGCGTCGGACAGCCGCTCGCATCTGCACAGACAGAGACGGAGTGAGACGGAGATGACTGCAGCCAAGCAGAGCTGAGCGAACAATACAGCCTGACTTCCTGACCTTTGGTTCCACAGCCCCTCTGGCGAAACAATGCTCTCCTTATTTAGCCCAGGCTCTTCCCACCATACACCCGTGTGCCCTCGGCACACTGTCACTAGTGTATTCGCTTTACAGTAACCGGGTTCGGCTGCTTAATTGCCCGCAGGGTCAATAAAATGCTGGGACTCTCGGGTCAAGGGGTGAAAGGTGTCAAACTTGCCTGTCATTTGGTGGAAAACAGAAACAGTTTTGTAATCAAAATTGATACAGATTACGGATCGTTTTCAGTAGATGAATCGCCCGTTGGATAGTAAGACATCGAGAGTGTCCCAACAGAATAGATTACTAGAGCTCAAAACGCCTCAGATTGCAGCCAAAAAGAACAAAAAGCAGTTCATTAATTAGGCTTCAGAAGAGCGTTCAACTGAAGAGCCCGTTTGTCATGACAACTGCGCTGTAATCATCACTGTGGGTCTGAAATATTAGCAACACATGATAAAAATCTGACATCATCTTTTTAAAGCAGAGCGAGGGCGGCGGAGAGCCGGCCCGGCAGAAATGGTTTCCAGATTTTGCACATTATGAGGGGCGTGGCTGCAAAGGGAGTAAATCGTAAATACCCTCGAGTCAGCCTTTGACGTCTTAACCCTCCGCTGGAGCGAGTAACCCAACTCTCCACCGCGCTGTCAACAGGATGTTTGCCACCTTCATGCCGAGCGCAGCACGGCCGGCACATCTAATACCTTTCGGCACGGCTGCAGCGCCGCCTTAACTGGCACATTTCATTACTCTTCATCACTTAAGGTTCCCACTGAGGTACCATGTGTTTTATTATCAAAGAGGCAGACTCTTAGACTTGACGTGGGCCCCATTCCACCCAGAGAGAGAGACTGTTAAAGGCCCCGCACACCCACTTCCTGTGTGCTTCTTCTGTCATCTTGCCGAGCCGTGACATTCTTTGATTCCTGTCCACTGCGGCTCCAGTGAAAACCGCTCAGCTATGGAGGCCTGAGACAAACAGTGCAAAGAAACTCACCGCTGCTAATGAGATGTTTCACACCGCTTCATAAAAAGGAGCTTTCACAAAGATTTTTTGCAAGGCCTGGGTCGTCATTTGAACGAAACACCCTGGGCAGAAAATTGGTGGTTGTAAAGACGCACACAACTTAAGTACTGACATGTGCTACAAATGAAGTGTCCGTGTGTCGGTGTTCCGGTTTCAACGTGTTTTAGATGTTCTTTAGAGACTGACCAACCAACGATGAGACACACGTCCTGTTGCGTTAGTGTGGGTGTGCACAGATGTGATGCTATAAGCTCACAGCAAATTATTTTCTCCACATTCCCCGCATTCCTCTACTCTCATTGCTGAGGTGCAAAAGCGATGGAGGAGACAAGCTCTCGGAGACGACGCTGGAGATCGAGATGTGGCCACGGCAGATGTGTGAGAAAACCGACGGACTTCCCACTCTTCCTTTTTAGAAGCTAAGTAGCTTAGCTTGGCTCCGTCCAAAGGTAACAAAAGTGCAGTGTTACATGTCGTTGAACAGAGCCAGATTAACTGTTTTCAGTCTTTTAATGCTAAGCCAAACTTATAGGCTGCTGTCTCAGGCCCGAGGGTGGTATCCATTTTTTCATTTAAGTCTCGGAAAGAAAGCAAATAAGTATGTTTTTCAAAAATTGCTTTTTTATGTTCTGATGCAGTAATTGAAATCTTGCTCCAACAATATTTAAAATAACAATATTTATATATTACCAGCTATTTGTACATCTGCTTTTTTGTTACCGCGCTTCTTGAACACATCCTGTCCATCAGTCATGTGATTAATTCTATTTTATTATTTCCACCTAACAAATGGCAGACATTTCCCCCTGAGCATGATCAATGGGGATCCGCAGCTGCACATGAAGCAGTGGTAATATTTCTCCCCTGTTTGGAGAAGAGGTTGTGCCTAGTTCCACAGGGAGACCTATCATCTTTCATTAAGGTTGGCTCACAGATGCAATCTGGCATCTGTTGCGCATTACCAACCTGCAGTGGTACATCTAACTCAAATACGTGGTAAGCAAGCTATTTCACTAAAAAACTAACTTGGAATCCATTTTAATAACATTATTTTTCTTTCGAAGCAGTGAAAAGTTGACCAAAATCTAAACGGAGGCTGTGGATTCAGATCAAATGTGTCTTCAAATTCACATCAAGATCCATCACCTCATATGTGCGTTGAGGCCTCTGAGGCCGGTCAAAGGTCCTACACGCTGCACGGCAGTTTGTGCACCTGACCGATGCGAGGCGTCACTGACTGGCTCACCTGAGGGCAATCTTTGATGTAGTGGCCTTTGTTGAAGCAAAGGTGGCACAGGTAGTTGGGCGGCGGCCTTTTGCTGGATTTGCGAGTCTCGGGGGACAGGGAGAGGTCCGAGAAATGGTCCGCCAGAGAGCTCAGGCCTTCCACGATATTGTTGAGGGACCCGTAGGGCGAGGAGCTCTTGTAGAAATTGTTGTTGAAGGCCTGTCAGAGAAAAACATTTTTGTTGTGACCCGACAGCATGTCAATCATCACCCTGGTTGATTTCGCTGCTTGCGACTCCGACAGTAGCCGACGTTATTTCAACTCTGCAGATGTGCCGCTTTTACCGCATTTTAATCAGTGTCTGTTTCCTCGTCACGAACAAAATGCCATTGTTGTGCGTTCTTCTAACCGGCCACAATCAGCATCATTGTGCCTCTGGAGGAGACGGGTGCTATGGCACCGCAGGGGCAAACATGAAGAACAGTCTGCACACACTGGCTGTTTACTCTGAAGGCATTACAGACGGACAATTGTGATCGGATTCACATGCACATTACAGTTGGCACCGTTGCCGTGGCACGGCTGCAGCGACAATATGCTATTTCAATTGTTTCATTGTTAAAGTTGCAACGTGAATTTCTCATTAAAGTACAGCAAATTCTACTATCCGTATATGCCGGTATCTGTGTCTGTTATCCTTACATTTCCTAAATGGGCCAGTATTAAAACAAGCAGCACTGAACCCCACTGGGTGAACACAGCATATTCCTCTGACCGAGCAAGAGGCCGGCCAGGGTGAACTGTAACATTTTTAAATCCTTGTGAGAGGTCTTTCTCAAACCTGCGATTCCCCCTCCAGCTGCACACTGACACCAGAACAGACTGAGCACACTCAGGCACTATACCAGGGTACAAAACCCATATTCATGCACTACCCGCTTACCACAGCAAGACCAAGTGGAGGCATGCAGGTGAGGTTTGCAGCATGGGCAACACAAATAACCTGGAGTGAAATATGTGTGTTTTATATTAACCGTAAAAGGGGGAGCTATTTTCGACATGCAGCATTAGAAAATAGATAAATGAGTAGGCATTAGGTTTTTAAACTACCAGCTGGATTAACACAACATGAATTCTACCTCACTCCTCAGATGGAAGAAGTTGTTGAGATAGTTGGCGCTCAGATCGGCTGCGCTGCGCTTGGAGAAGTTCGTGTCCAGATGTGAAGTGTCCGACTCGGATTTGAACGCATCCAGAGTGCCGCTCTGAGCGTCCTGCAGAGACATGTAGACCCAGTTGAGCAGCTGGGCAGGTGGGTACACGGGACCCCCGTTCTCTATGGCAGACATCATATTGGAGGTTTGGGGGGGGGGTTTGCGCCTCTTGGAATCAGCGCCGTCGCAACCGCCGGATTTTCTGGATGGCACAACTTCTTTCAGTCATCCCCCTCTTACTCTCGGCTGGGTGGGTGCGATCTTCGTGGTCACACCCGGGGAGCCCTGGAGGACCCCGGTTAACCGGACGACAGTTGAAGCAGGGAGCGCGAACGCCTGAATGCCGGCTGGGAAGTGAGCAGCAGCAGCAGCAGACGCTCCAGACACGACTCTGTGGGCAGCAGCGTCACAGCAAATAGGAGGTCCGACATGAGGGCGCATCCGCCCGCTTCACTTCTCCCACCAGAGTCACTGAGAGGGGCGCGAAGTCCAAAAATATACCAGCCATCGGGATGAAAACGTAGACAGTGATGATTAATTTTCATCGCATTTAACAGAGAACGGAATTGTGTTTCAAACTAACTTCACTAATTGTGATGCCAATTAAAGAAGGCTCGATTATATAATTTTTTTAAGGAAAGCCGTGTAGGCTGTTTTTTTGCATTGATTGATGTGTGTATGATGGGAGTTTTTCCTCATTTTTAATCAATAGAAAGACATTTAATTGAAACAAAGGAGAATCACTCATTGTGCTCAGGTAGAGCGAACCGCTGCAGTCTGACAGGCTCGTCTTCACCACGAGTAGAATGCTGCCATCTAGTGTTTATATGTTTTTGACATTTGCTGTGATAAGGGTTATTCAAATGTCAGGGACAGCTGCATATTATCCCATAAAAAAAATAAAAAAATGTGAATGCCTTTAGACAAGGGACTATTTAAAAAAACTGAGCTACGCAAATATATTGGTTTAACAAAATTAGAAACTATTTATCTGAAATGTCATGCTTGTGACGTCACCACTGGAAAACAACAATATGTAATCAGTTGTCGACAAACATCGCACTGTCGTCTTTTCACACGGCCGCATGAGTCAACATCAGGCGTTTCTCCTCCGGAGCGCGGAGGACAATGACGGGGAATAAAGGTCGGTGCCGCGGGGCGGAAACCACACCGAGGCCCCGCCCACCTCCGAGGCCGCTCCGCTGCTGTCCGCTCGTCTGTTCCTGGTCCTCCACTACGCAGCGCTTAAAGTAAGTAAAAAAAAAAACAAAATCTCGTGTTTTGGACTGTTCGGGGGGGAAGCCGCTAAATATCCGCCTCGCGTTGCTTTCCAAGGCGACGACGAAGCGTCGACGTATTCGACAATACAATTCAGCGGTATTTGTAGAGATTATTGCGGAATGAGCCCCGCCTGTCTTAACGGACCAACGTTGCTCAACGGCAACAAACGTGGTTCTTTATCTCAAAAGTATTTCAAAATGGAGCGCTGATACTTTTTTTAAAACTGCGTTTTAATTCGTTACGTGTCCCTACTGGGATTCTTCTTTTTTTAAACGATGGATGCTTAACTGTGAACACCGTGATGTCACGTCAGTAATCCGCCTGGGATGGTTGAACCTTAACGCACCATCGGGGCAGACCCCGCACATTTAGCATAACGTTAGCTAATGTGGTCAATATTGGCGTCAGATGTGCACCTACTGGCGCTTTAAACCTGTCAAGAAGTGTAAAAACGTATACAAGTATAAAAAATAGCAGCACAGTATTGGGGAATAATTTGCGTTAGGGACCAACGAGTGAAGGACATCGGGAATTTTATTAATGGAAGTACTCGTATTTACCACAGTACCCGAAGGCCTCCCCAGTGCGGACCCAGGTAACAAGGGTCCGAACGGGAAGCGGACCCGTGTTAACAATCGCGCGCCTTCCACCAAGTCCCTCCTGAAACGTTGTTCATATGTCCGCCTAAATTACTCAATCGCGCATCTTTGCACTCAGAATAACTCAATCTAAACATTAACCGTGGCTCTGGGTATGTCCGGTTTTTACATCCGGGTATCTTTGCGTGTCTGTAAATAACTACCTAAAGAAGCTTGTTAAGCCACAAACAAAAATAATAAAACGGCGCCTAGTTTCTTGTGTGCATGTAAAGTGGAATTACAGTAATTGCTCGTACAGACCCGCAACTAATTAGTATTTGTCTCGGATAGGGGATTAAACGGAGGCACCTAAACAGTTGTGTGATTCAAACAGCTCTTCAATCTAAAGTTTTTTCTTTCGCTTATTTATTTGTTTTTTTTGAGAAGGGGAAGTAAAACCTAAACGCTGTGGAAGAAAAGACCCTCGCTTAACTTAATCACCACAATGCGGAAGCTGCTACTCTTTCAATAACTTAACGAGTTGTGGGGGGGAGTTTAGGGAACTTTTTACATTTTACTTTTTTACTCGTAATAGATGTGTGTTTCAAAAAACACCTTTTTCCTTTTTTACATGATTCCTTGAAAAGGTCTTGTGGTAAAAAATAGCCATATCATTTATGAGTCTCTTATATCAAAGTACCAATCAATAGCTTCCTGTCACCCCTAGTTTCTGAAGATGAGCTACCCCGGATACCCTCCACAACAGGGAGGCTACCCGCCTCAACAAGGGGCATATCCGCCCCAGGCAGGCGGCTACCCTCCACAGGCTGGCGGATACCCCGGACAGGCAGGCGGATACCCCGGACAGGCAGGCGGCTACCCTCCACAGGCTGGCGGCTACCCCGGGCAGGCTGGCGGCTACCCCGGGCAGGCAGGCGGATACCCCGGGCAGGCAGGCGGATACCCCGGACAGGCTGGCGGTTACCCACCCGCAGCGGGCGGTTACCCTCCGGCAGCAGGAGGCTACCCCTCCCAGCCCGGAGGATACCCTGCCCCAGCTGGAGGCTTCCCTCCTCAGGCAGGAGCAGGAGGCTACCCGTCCATGCCCCCCGGAGGTGAGATCATTTTTTTGGATTGTGCACATATACATGGATCAGTCTTGTCCCTTTTTTATAACCGAATGGCGCTTTGTCTGTTATGTCAATGTTTTCTTTGCAGGTGGAGGCTGGGGTGCAGCACCAGGCGGCTACGGAGCGGTACATACCTTCTTATCTCCGTCAACAACCCCACTAATAACCTATAGGCCGACTTCAGCTCAACCTTTTGTTTATCTTCTACTGAAACCTTATGTGATCTATATGTGACTATGGACTTCACACTTACAGCTGTCCTCTGTTTGCAGCCAGGAGGGGCTCAGCAGGGATACCCAGCGGGCCCCGCCCCAGGCCAGCCCATGCCAAATTACCCCGCAGCCCCGGCAAATACCCCCTCAATGCCTGCATATGGAGGTGGAGTTCCATCCAACCCTCAAACACCGGCCATTTCTGTAAGATGCGTTCATCTTCATCCTTGGACTTCTATCAAACTGTTTACCAGTGCACATTCAGCAATTGTGCGGCGTTATATCTGCTAATGGTTTTAATTATATATTTTTCAAAGAAAGGGTACAGGGGTTCCATAAAAGACTTTCCAGGGGCGGATCCGCTGAGGGATGTCGAAGTTCTTCGCAAAGCCATGAAGGGTTTTGGTAATTAAACGCCTCCCATCTGACTTTGCTGACGCCCGTCTGAAGTGTTCTCACTCAACATTGACGATCATTAATTGATCCTTCATGTTCTTTTGAACAGGCACTGATGAAAATGCCATCGTGGAACTTTTAGGCAGCCGTACCAACAAGCAGAGGGTCCCAATGGTGTCGGCCTATAAAACAACCTATGGAAAGGTACTTTGGTAACCGTCAAAATGTGAAATGTGTCTGAAATCTCTTGCTACACACAGGCCCTGCGTTGCCACTATATTTACGCAAACCTCGCTCATGTTTTTTGGGTTCGTGTTTCTCTTCTTAGGATCTAGCCAAGGATCTAAAGTCTGAGCTCACTGGAAACTTTGAGAATCTTGTTCTCGCTATGATTAAGAGCCCTTCCCACTTCGATGCATCTGAACTCAGAGAGGCTATCAAGGTTAGTAGTTTGAGTTGTTGTCTCAGCAGCTGCGTCAATTTTGGTTTTGTAGTCCAAACCGCATGTTCCACATCATGTAATTGTAAAATAACACAAATAACCCCTAAATGCAAGTTATGGCCGGTGACCTCTGAATGTTCACCATTGTTTAAACCATAAAGCTGGTCTGTCTTACTGCATCTTTTCTATATTTTTGCAGGGCGCAGGAACTGATGAAGCTTGTCTGATTGAGATTCTTTCGTCACGCTCCAATGCAGAGATTTGTGAAATTACCAGAATCTACAAAGCTGGTGAGTTCATTAATTCTTTTATTAAAATGTGATTGGCGCTGCTGCAGCTATGCTTTTGATGTCCTTGGTAAACAGATTAAGAAAATGAAAGGGTCACAGGGTCATTGATGAAATGGCACTTTCTTGTTTCTTGTTCTGCTGGGTTTGTATCCTTTACAATAATGCACTTATTGTAAGGCGCTTTAGCGTCAGCTAAATGACATGTAATGTCATAACAAAATGCAAATATCATGCAAATGTATGTAAAATAAAAAAAAAACTGCCGCGCCTTTCTTTCCAGAGTACGGGAAGACCCTTGAGGACGCCATCACCAGCGACACCTCTGGTCACTTCCGCAGACTCCTCGTCTCTCTGTGTCAGGTAGCTGCTGCACGTTTTACACCTGAAAAGTGTGTCAGGCAGATTTACTTGGTTGGGTGAACTTTCCGGTTTTGACTGCTCCCATGAATGTATTCATAAACCCAACACACCTTTTCTCTTTCCAGGGAAATCGTGACGAAAGGGAGACTGTCGACGTCGCCATGGCCAAACAGGACGCTCAGGTACTGGTTTGGAGTGGTGGGAAGTAATAAGCGAGTCTAACCCTGTTCCGTGTATAATATAGGTGTGTTTCTTTGTGTGCGCGGCCGACAGAAACTGTATGCTGCCGGGGAAAATAAAGTTGGAACCGACGAGTCTCAGTTTAATGCCATCCTGTGTGCTCGCAGCAAGCCTCACCTTCGCGCCGGTGTGTAAGCCCCACCCCCAGTGGATGGTTTCCCCTTTCACCCCATGGCTTCTGTTGTTCCACACGTTTATATATATATATATATATCTATATATTATGACTAAGTCTTTCCTGTGATCCTTGTCTTTTTATTAGTCTTCCAGGAGTACCAGCAGATGTGTGGCAGAGACATTGAGAAGAGCGTGTGCAGGGAAATGTCTGGCAATTTGGAGTCTGGCATGGTGGCTGTGGGTACGTTCCCTGGGCCTCTTTTTTTCCAGACCTCGGCTAAGCTGGAGTGGCTTTCCAAAAACATGTTGAAGCTTTAAGTGTATATATATTGAAGCCATTCGTTGAGGTGGTGGTTTGGACTGGTTTTACTGGAAGGACTAAAAATAACATGCCGCTGCAAACCGGTTGCAGTTTGACCTAAATACCTTTTGTTAATACTTGTGCAGATTGCTCAAAAGCAAAGCTCTAATGTGATTGTTACGAGTGCAAATGTTGGTCACAACGGCTGCTTCAGAATACAGTTGTTGATGGACATGTATTTTATTACGTTTTGCAAAAATTGTTTAAAATCCAGAGTCCAAGCCATTTTTTGAGTAATATTTGTGCAGATGTGAAATCTGAACATCAGATGGTTTGGTTGCAGTTGTGCAACACGTTTTTTCAAATGGTAACCTAAAAAAACATGTGGCACCCAGTCTGGAATATCTTTAAACGGGTCTTTTCAATTGTTGCGTGTAGTGAAGATTAGATGATACAAGTAGGAGGCGTGTTTTTAAAAAGGTTTTAGAGACATGACATAATTGGTAGAATTGATGGAAAAGATTTTAGCGATAATGCTGCTAAGACACACAACATTGGGACTTTCTCTGGTGTAGTTATTATCGCTGCAGTGAGTCCGCTTCAGTCTCTAATGGTGCCCACCTCGAGCAATACCTTGTTGACACTTATAGTCTATTCATTTGCCTCTACAAAATCTTTTTTTATTTTTTTATCTTGACCTCTAAGAAAAACAACTGTAACAATGGTCTGGTCTTGCACGTTCATAGAAGACTCAACGGTTTACATCTAATCCTTTTCTTCTAGTGAAATGCATCAGGAACACTCCTGCCTACTTTGCAGAAAGACTCCACAATGCCATGCAGGTAAATCATCCCATTGCATTCTGATGATGGCAAACAAAGTGTTTCCTGCACTGCCATTGTTGTTGTGAGTCGGAGGAAACAACGATGTCGCTGCTGCAGTCAATGAAGTGTTGTGTTGTGTGTCATCAGGGAGCGGGGACCAAGGACACAACTCTCATCCGCATCATGGTGACCCGCTCTGAGGTGGATATGTTGGACATCAGACAGGCCTATGTGAAGGCTTACGGAAAGTCCCTGTACACTCACATCTCAGTAAGACCCACAAATCCCACTTTGCTGACATTCACAGGTTCTTCCTTTTCATGTATGATATTTTTAACGTTTTGCATTTGTTTTTCAGGGTGATACCTCTGGGGATTACAAGAAGCTGCTTCTGAAGCTGTGTGGCGGCAACGACTAAAATAAAGGAAGACAAACCCTGCATGAGGACGCTCTACGCGTCCGCACTGAAACCATGTGATGAGGCCATATATCACCTCAGATTAAGTTACTCAAATTCATTATTTCTTTTGTAATCTCTTTAGTGTGATTGTTTCTTTCTTTCTTTTGCTGCTGTATTGTAGTAAGTGATTGCCAAATAGTACATATATATATATATTCATATAAAGATATTTTTTAAGATGCCATAGATGTCTTTAAAATATCAACTTTGATTAAGATGTTGACTATACTAACTATACATGGAAGAGAGTTTAAAATGTCCAACTAACTGCTAAAGTGTAATTATCCTTATTTCGAAGAATAGTTTCAGAAAAATTCAATATGCAAAAAGGCGTTTATCTAATATCCAAAGTACATATACTCGGATATATTCAAAAAAAAATTGCGGGTGTTATTTTTGTGTTACTAGGGTCAAGTTTACCTCACCGCCAAGCATGTCAACTGTGCTCAGGTTACTAAACAGAGTTACGTGACACTGTTATGCAAGTTTGAACAAAGTATATGACTTCATCTCAAACAGGAGGGATGTTAAAACTGTAATTCCAGGCCATTTTTGATCATGAGAAATAACCATAATCTGCATCACTTTTATGTGTCAATGTTATCTAACCAGAATCTTGCTCCTGCTTGACTGTCTATGCAATTTAGCTTTTTGCCTTAATCAGCTTCACACAATTCTTCGGTGTTGCTCTTGAAATGTAGACCTTTCCAATCATCGTTTGCTATTTACAGACAGCCAAAGCCTAAAGATAATGTTGTGCCTTTTTGTCAGGGCTGCCATGTACAATGTTTAGAGCTCATGGATGTTTCACTGTGGTTTATCTAGCAAACAATCTATAATCACAATTGCCAAAATGTAATGTATGCATTGTTAATTTGTCAAATTTTGGTTGTTTTCCTCCCTTGGTGTCTTCTACTGGTTTGTATGTTTTGCTGCCAGTAGAGGGCTCTTTTATATTGTCTGCTGCTTGAAAATGGAGCTTTGAACTGAATATCTATTGCGCTACGTCTACTTTGCAACCATCCTCTGACGTGACAATGGTTATATTTCAACGGATGCCTTGTTAGTTTTTTCTAACATTTTGCCACGTGACCGTCCCAGTCTCACAAACATCCATTTCTCATTTCATTAAAAACAAAACAACATTTTGGCACATCTGGATTGTCTTTGTGAAATGCTGTTTTGCGTGAAAATATTAACTGTGGGTTTTCTGCTCTGATCTGGCACACAATGAACAATTTGCATTTCAAAGGGAGCCTCCCTTTCACCACCTTGGTTGGTATTAAAACGAGTGAGATCCCCCCCCCTTACTCCTCCCAGCGCGTCTTTGGAGCATTACGAGCTGCATGTTTGGCCTAAAGGTGCGAGTAATGTGGCTTGAGTAAGTGACGTCTGCTTTGCTGTTTAACGTGAGAGGGGGGGAACCATATCCAGGTTTGCTCCGTAGCTGAAGTGATACGGCGGGGAGAGCTTTTCTCAAGGCTATAAATAGTGTCCATAGTGGAGACGCGGACGTCTTAAAGTCTTCTTTCTGTTGTGCTCACTGGCCTTTTAAGTGCAGCCTCAGAGGGGCTGTGATGGGGAGACAAATGACTTCACCGACCAGCACTCCTTCTACACCTTTATCACTTTTATTTTTATGCTTTTCATGCACGCTTCAAAAATAAAAAAGCCCCCCCCACGAGCCGGGGTACAAAGAGGGATGAATATTTGATGTTGGTATTTGTGTATGTTCTCACAAGCCCAGACTGTTTGCCGGATACCGGCTCAGATATATATAGGTCAAAGGGAAATCAGTGGGGCCTCCTACTTGGTTTGCTTTTACATTCGGAGACAAAACAGAACACTTAGCTGATCCTGATTTAGAGAAAAAAATGTGCTTTTAATTATTTACATGTGGACTTGCTGCACTCTTTCTGGGACACGATCACACTTAGATACACATGCGAGGGATGCAATGTCTTATTGGACACGGCAGACGTGTGCCTACGGGGAATTGTGCCAATCGACAGCATCTGTTTGCGTCACTGGTATTTGGTGGTGCATGAGAGGTTTGAAGGTCAGCCTTTAAATTAGCCCGCACGCTTCCTATTATACCACCTTATGCTTTCTCTTCTCTTAAATGACAATTGTGAGTGACTCATTCTAAAAAAAATGAAATAAAATGACTCACAAAAATGTCATTTTATTTAAATTAAGCATTTTTATAATTGATCAATTCAACCATCATCTGAAAGAACAAATCTAGTTTCATAAATCCATTGAGATTAATTCATGTTTTAGTTTAATTCACGTCCCCATCACTCATTGGCAATTGGTAAAAGTAAGCATTGACCAAATTGTACGTTTGCAGTGGAATTTTTCCAGCCATCCAATGAGGAATGTACGGTTAGGAGACATTTGGTCGCCGGGACATAATCCCGCTTTAAACTTCATGAGTGCATTTTAAGCAAATTACAAACCCGGGGATTAGATGGACAACACGTAATGAGATGCAGCTGCAGATATCGCTATCCAGCCTGCACGGCTTGAGCTTCATCCACTGATATAGAATAAGAGAATAAAACCTGTTCAACCAGTTCATCTTGTGTGAATATAAAGAGCAAACTTTCACCATTAAAATTATTAAATAAATGTCTTAATATGTTCACTTAATGTGTTTAAGCCTTTCTGGGTGCAAAATAACCTTGTTTCAATGCAGTGTGGCGCTTTAATGAATTCATATAATTCCTAAACATTCCAACAAGTTTCCATAGTCAGTGACGGATGGATTTTCCCTGCAGGAGCACAGAAATTAGCCGAGTTGTTACATAACCACTTTCATTGTTGAAGCTGTTATAAACTTCAGTGGGGAAATGTTTAGGCACAGGGTGCCCGGCATTAAGCTTTAAAGCTGGCGCCAGAAGAGAGTCCCAATCCTCATAAAGGCAATAAACAGAATCCCACAGAGCACTGTGAGCCATTAGGCTGTCTGCACTAACGCTACGAACACATAAACAATCTTATGTATGATTCCATTTAGTTTGTTTCTTAAGGATATAAAATATTATGACACCTCAGCCTTCTCAGAGATCTGATGGACTATGTGGAGTAGAAGAAAGTTTGCGGAGTTGATTGGGCAGATGTGTCGGAACAATCCAGATCACAAACAGGCAACTCTTTGATCTGGTGTATAATCTGAAGTTAAAGCTCATGGATTTCTCTTACTGTTAAATAATATGTGGCCTATTCTATTCTTCTGAACAGATGAGCAAAGACCAAATCAATTAATGCACAATGCAGTTGTTTAATATGTGTGCAACTGCATTATACTAAAGTTTTCTCCATTGTCCAAGTTCAGGACTCTACTAGTGTTTTACTTTACTACAACTTTAAGTAAAAGTATTTGGTGATTTATACTTTGCATTAATAAGTTAATCCAATTAACAAGTTATGGAAGCTGTCAGATAAATGTAGTGGCGGAAGCCAGGTGCGTCTACAGCCAAAGCCCCGCCCACATTTACCTTAAATGTCCATTGCACGGAAGTATGATTGGCACAGAGCTGCTTGGACGGTGAGACATGGCGGAGTTAGTTGGCTGACAGAGGGGAGGGAGCGAGGGAGGGAGCGAGGAAAGCAAAGAAAGCAAAGAGGGAGCGAAAGCGAGAGCCGCTTCTCGAAGAGTTGTCATTTTTCCTCAACGCTTTTGAACATGTCGACAGAAGGGGACTTTTAGGACTACAATGTCTCCGTAACGTAACTCGGAGACGCCCCCCCCCCCCTCCCTCTTCCACACACCCCACCCCCGTTTGGTCGGGAAAGGACGGAGCGGCGGCGGCAGCGGCCTGGGGGGGGTAAATGTGTTGTCATCTACGCGCAGTCAACAGCCCTGGGCAACAAATATGGCTACTTCTTGTGTGTCCTCCGATTCGGGTGCAAACGTCGTCCCGACCGGGTCGACTGGGATAGTTCCGGCGAGTTACGACACTTACGACACTAGTGCGAGGTGAAGTTAACCACCGAGCAACGTGGATTTGTCCCCGAGGGCTGATTTCTTCTTTTTTAGAGGGGTACGGGGGGGTGGAAAGGACACTCCGATGGAGCCCAAGAATAAAGAGTTGCTGGATAAATGTTACCACGACTTGGTGGAGTCGATAACGGATGCGGACCGAGTGGCGGATGTTCTGGCTCACTGCGGGACCCTCAGCCAGTCCGAGCGCCACGAGCTGGGGCACAACTGCTCCACCAATTTGGAAAAAGTGGACCTGCTGCTGAAGATCCTCGTGAGCAAGGACCGAGACCACTTCGCGGAGTTCTGCGCGGCCCTGGAGAAGACTCACCCGCACCTGCGGTCCGAGCTGCTGCTGCCCGGCTCTGGTCCGGCGGATCACACCACCGGTGAGAAGCACACCGCTTGTTTCGCTTGAAATAAAGTGCATGTATTTACGTTTAGATCAGTAAGGAAACTTGCTAAGGTTTTTTGCATGTGTGTATTGGTGTTTTTAGTGGACATAAAATCAAAATGTTGTTTATGGTCCAGGCTGGTTTCGAACCCGCTCCTTTAGGGGCATCGACCATAATGAGAGATGACGAACTATCATGTGACCCGATGCTTATTTACTCTCACACCACTCCGCTTGCTTCCGTTGCCGTGCCACCGAAAAGCAAAGGCTGCAGGCCCTCTGTGGAAGTGATAATGGACCTAAAAAAGACTCCAACAATCAATGTAGGGAGCGTGTAACTGCCTGAGGTTGTGTGTGAAATAATCGATAACGTGTCAAAGTCTAATGGACGAGTGAAGAATTAAATGTGTGTTAATGCACACAATGATTTACTATATAGTGGATTGTTTTGTCTCCACAACTAGCAGTTCATTATATTAAGCATTAATGTATACATTACTGTGTGTTTTTATATGACTGACTGCCTGGTCTATAAAATGCAAATTGCATTTGGATTATTGTCATTTGGAATATCCATTTAGGCTGCAGATTCATGTCTTTCATTAATTGATTGTGAGGCATGTTGGGTTTACCATCATGTCAGAAATGCTGAGAACGGCTTCAGCAACGTTTGCTCAATATATCTAAATAATGTACCAATCAGTTTACCTTTTCAGCACTTTACTGGACATATATTGTTAACTTTCCAGAGATTAACAAGCTATTCACTCAATACTGCACCAAAAGTGTGGCGACAACAACAACAACAACAACAACACCTCCTTCTCTGGTGATTTCCTATGAATATGTTTTTCTAACTCTCAGCTTAATCTTTATACTGCAGAAATTCAGTTTGGGGATGCTCGTGATTTCCCTCAAAATACTTGTACACATGTAATATTCTGCAGCAGTATTGAACATGCTCATTGTTCAGCACATCCACGGCACTTTTGGCTTTTCAAAAGCAATATTTGCATCGCTCGTTGGTTTGTTTGCGCTCCGCTAATGCGTCGTACTCAGTGAGGTGTTAATTATGCATTTATTCTGTCCTTTATTATTTATGAGAACTGAAGCTGCAGAGTGAGTCTACTTTTCTGAGCTTTTACCCCTTTTTTTGCGCTGCGTTTCACAATCCTGTACGCCGTCTAAAACCCGAGAGCTGGGGAGGGGTTGGCACATGAAGACGATTTGGGCCGCTCTCGGTCGTCTGCAGCGCCCTGTTGGTAGTCACACGGGACACAAGTGGGCTGAGCTGCTTCTTGCTACAGGGCAGACCGGTTCCTCCACCGCTCAGCCAAGAGCAGGGCCTTTCCCCAGGAAAACGGTAGCTAGCCACGGCCTCCGTCTCCAAATAATGTGTGCATGCAGCTGCCTAATTCCCCACTTACCCAGAGTCCCACAGGGCGAGCGCGCTAGATCATCTTTTGAAATCAAAACAATGTTAATGAACGAGAGCTTCGTTACAAAACCCCCAGCAGGTTATCTGAAATCACACACCAACAACAGAGGGGCTAAATTTAGCCTATTCGGTTCACCGTGACGTGAAATAGGATGATGAATATTGTTTGTTTCCAGTAAACTGATCCACTATCGTTTCATATAACCATAGCGGCTGGCCTGGAGAGCTTTTAGTTTAGATTGTTTCACCCCTTTCTACAATAACACTCGCGGCTGATGTGTTCAATTTTCAAAATAAGACAATGTCAAAGAGAGCCTGCTAGCGACTCTGAGGTT